ATTTTATAAGAATGTAATATCAAAATTTAATAATTGATTGCATATAATTAACTAAACTAAAGTGTCATAGTTATAATATCATGAATATTTATTGTTAGAGAAATTTTATAATAGATTATGGAAAATAATAAATGAGTTTATTTAAATTGTAAAGTATTTATATAGTTAGAGAAATATAAGGAAAGACTAAAAATGTTAGTCTAATGGGTCCAAACAACTTTTTTAAGTAGATTTATTTAGATTCCTTCTCTTTTAATAGTATAGATCATGTTTTCTACAAATAATAATATTTCCTCAGATCCGAAAGTTCGCGTTCTTGACTGATAATAAATAAATTTCAATATGCCAAGCTTCCTAGAAGATGGTAAATACGAGTTTTGTTTATTTTTTTTTTGGTTAAGAATTTTGTTTAATTACAAGAAGCAATGTGATCATGTGATGTGGACAAATCACATTCAATATTTTGTTGATAATTTTCAAGGTTTAGTTTGATTTATTCTTTGAACTCGGTTTTCCGATCATGATTGATCTGGGTTTTGTGGAGGTCATGGATGACTTCATCCATGTAATTAACAGTTCCAAATAATTGTTGTTGTCGTTTGAAAGATAACTTTCATCTAGAAATTCATTAAGCTGTGACTTTTTACGTAGATTTTTATATTTAACTTGTAAGCAGGTTTTAGAGATACTTCTATTTGCCACTACCATCCAACAAAATGAGAAATCATGCAACATAACTATAGCAGAAATATATTAATACTTTTGTTACTTGTGTTATAACATGTATGAATTGATTGGGTGCTTATAAATTGTTAACTACAATCATCTTAATCACATATATCTTCATCAAGTACAATTAAAATGAGAACAAGAAGAAATACTATACTAGAATATTTTGTATGCAAAGTGAAAACAAGTTTAGTTACATTAATCCAATTAACTCATTTCATAAATTTGCAGCAGTAAATTAATAAAGAAATAATAACCCAAAACTGGAATAAATGAAAATATATTTCTTTAAAAAAATAGTTTTTTTTTTTGTTATTCCAGTTTTTATATACACCTTTTTGTCGAACACGGAGTTCGTCCTAGGAAACTCTCTCAGGCCCGCTTCCCGAGGAGAATCGTTTAAGATGAATCCGCTATATTCTAGCTATGTCGTTCGAACCTCCTCCTTCTGAAGCCTCCTTGCTCCTCCTCCATGGTCCTGATGAGATACGCTCGTCCACCTTTGCACTCCCGACCTTCTCCAGATCTATCGCCGTGTATCCTTCCACTTGAAGTTCCGGCTCCCATCTGTCATCCAAAACCTCCAGATCTGTCGTTGGGTAACCCTATGTTTGAAGCTCCTTCTCCCGGTTCCCCTCCAGAACCTCCAGACCTTCCAGACATCGATTTTCTTATTGCTCCTCTCTGTATCTTCGACTCCTTCCCCATACCATCTCCTCAAGCTTTTCTTTAGTTCCTCACTATGAAATTTCCATCTAGGATGGTTACTAAGAAGAGTGATGGTGGTGGTGCTCATGTGTCCGTTAGCGACACTTCATTTGCCTATGGGCTCCTATATTATGTGGTATACAGGTCTCTGTTTGGATGTATCGACTGGTCTTTAATCAATTCTTGTTTCGATCTTCTTATAGCCCCTCTTTGTAAGGTCGTTCATACTCATCTTAGCTCTTTATTGTCTACTTATCCTGCTACTATAGAACGGTTTAGACAAAGCTTTGTGTGGGTGATGTTGGAATTTTGGTTCATGATTTTAGTTGGTGTTATACCGATGAGCTTTGTCTCAATTGGTTTTGCGTTTGCAACCTCTAGTAGCCTTTATTTCGCCTTGGCGCGATTGTCTGCAGTATGCAGCTCTCTTACATATTCTATTGTGGATGTTGGTGTTGTGTTTGTATATCTCTCTTTTTGGTGGCAGATAGAAGAGAAACTCATTGTCATCTTTATTCCCATGAATATGGATGTAGCGGGATATGATTTTCCGTTTGTCCCCGTTTGAATCAATCTTCTTTCCTAATATTTCCTCTTTTATGGAGTGAATTGGATAAACAAGTTTTGTTGGTATTGCAAGGATCTTGCTCTTATCGAATGCTCTTCTATGCGTATGGTGTAGTGTGTGTGTGATCCTACCGGTTACACTAGATGCAGTCTTTGAAGAAGCTTATGATGTTGTTGTTATACGACTTCATATGGTTTCTTTTTGTGATTTGTATCGCCATTTTATCTTTTTTGTTATCGTTGTTGTTGTTTGTTTGGCTGTCAATAACCTCTATGTATTCTCTTTTAATGGAGAGTAAAAATATTTAAGTTAATGCATGTTTGGTTTGATTAAAAAAAAAATAGATTTTTACCGCAAATTAATAAAGCAATAATTACAACCCAAAAATAGAAAAAGGAAATAAATGAAAAAAAGACGCGTTATTGTTTTAAAAACAAACTAGAGTTTTTACCCGCACATTCGTGCGGGTATATTTTTTATTTTTAAAATGTATTTAATATTAATTTAAATATTTGAAATATATAATTTATATTTTTATCTTATATATTGTGTAAATTTATAATCTAACTGGTCTAGGTTTTTATTCAACATTATTAATATATAATATTCTTTAATTTTTTACTTTGAAATTTATAAAATAGTATAGGACTCTTTTTTTGTTATTATAGTGAAATTTTAATTAATATTAATGTATAATAGTATGATATTATTAATTATGAAATTTATTATTATGTTATTTAATAATAAAATATTTAAACTTTTAGTAAGATTTTGTTAGATTTTCTCTCAACCGATTCTGTTATAACTAAAAATAGAATGTAAATTTATTATTTTCATCATATATGATTGATTAACCTAAATAATTTAATATGTCATACTAAGTAATAAATGAAATGGTCCTATATGATTTTTTTGTAGTAGATAAAAATAGTGACTCTATTTTAATAGAGTAGATGATCACAAAAAGGGTTTTTGAGAGGTTTAACACAGAAGCTTCGTTTTACAAAAATCTACGAGTCGGCGGCGGCGGCAAAAACAACGACTCTTCTTCATCTGAGACTAAGACCCGATCTCGCGGCTTAGAGTAAAGTGCGATCATGTCATCTCCAGATCCAAAGACAGAGAATTCCGACTCCCAACCTCGAATCAACGAAGCTCCGTCAGAGGAACTCGGAGATTCATCAACTGTTTGGAAAGATCCAGTAGAATCCGGATCTCCAAATGAAGTAGAAGACGCAGAGGAGGAGGAAGAGGAAGGAGAGTGCGGGTTTTGCTTGTTCATGAAAGGAGGAGGATGCAAAGACTCGTTTGTGGCGTGGGAAGTGTGTGTGGAGGAAGCTGAGAAGAACAAGGAAGATATTGTTACTAAGTGTATGGAAGTCACTAGCTCCTTGAAGAAATGTATGGATGCTCATTCCGATTATTACCAGCCGATTCTCGCTGCTGAGAAAGCTGCTGAACAAGAGGTGAAGAAGGAGCTCGAAGCTGAGAAGGAGAAGGAGGAGGAAGAGGAAGTGGCGGCGATGAAGCAAGCTCGGGGTTAATCTGAGAGGAGGAGATTTAGGTAATTTTTACCAGAGAATATTTCTCGTTGTTGTTAGATTTGAAACTTTTAAAAGGACCAACTTTGATTGGTTGGGTTTGTTCCCCTAATTATAATCTGTTACTTTTGTGTCCGAATAAGTGGATTGATTGAGATCAGTTCAACTTCTGTGAAACCTTTTTGTCTGATTGATTACTCTGTTTTTTTATAGAGATAGTTTGCTCTTTAAAGGTTATTACTTTGTTGATGCCTTTCATTCAAGTTCTTCTTTTCTGGTGTTTGCTAAGCTTTTTAATGTGATTTTTTTCGGGTTCTGAGACATAGAAGAACGGATATTTTCTTAAGTGGTTGCTTCTGGTTTGTCTGAAGATCAAGCTGAAATGTTTGTCTGAAGATCAAGCTGACATTTTCTAGTTTGTCTGAAGATCAAGCTGAAATGTTTACTGCTAGGTCTGACACTAGCATTTGTTGCCCACTTCAATCTGATTATCTTGACAAATGTCAAACATTACACAACCTCATCTATGTTATCATTCAGCCTCCATACTTTGTTTGCTCAGCTGCATAACAATCTCAGGGCTAGAAGGAAAATATTTACTGGTTTAGTCTCAGAACGCATAGAGACAGAAGAGTTGAGAGAGTGACCACAATGTATGTTAGGCTATTGTCAAAAGCGGCCTTTTTTTTGAAATTTATTTTCTATAAGATGAGAGATACATAATCTTGTTTTTAGTTACATCTTAACTTACGTAAAAACAAATAAATCAAGATCAGCAACTATGCAGAAACCAAAAAAAAAAACTGAAAAAAGTTACAAAACAAAAATGGGAATAAAAAAACTCAGGGAAGGAACTACTATGCAGCTCTCGTATTTCAAGGGTTTTGGCTTTCCCGTCCTCTTGCAGAAACAATGAGATAGTATGCTAAAAGAAATGTGACTTCAACGTGTTAAACTGGAGTTTCTATGGCCAAACAGGTCGTGGCAAATTGTACCTTCACAAAGACATTCTTGAGGGTTAGCGTAGAAGTAATCTTCCTCCTTTGGTTTGTCCGAGATTACTCTTCTCTGTGTAGGCGCTCCTGTTCGTCTCTCATGTGCTTCCTTCACAGCTACTGCAAACTGATCCCACGTGAGGGTCTTGTTGGTATGTAAATCCAGTAGCTCCACGAGTCTCTTGCGGTGAAGCAGGATCGTCTTCTTAAAACCAAGGTATCTGCAAACTCAAGCAGAATCACATGTTTGGTTTTCTTAACATTACTTTGTCAGTTGTCATGAAACTTGAATGGATTCAGTTTCAATATTACCTCCGATGACCTTCCACCACTTTTGCCATGTTTCCATCATACGTGGGAATAAAAGTGTTACTGGCCACGGATACCATGAAATCTAGAGCTGCCATTTGAGACGAATGGTTCTGAAACTGTTGCAACTCTGACGACTCCAATAGCATTTCTTTCTTTACCTATAAACCACATGTGAGAGTAAACCAATGAGAATAGTGCATAGATAACAAAGATACAGTTAACCACTTCGTTAAGGAAATTGGGACTGGTGGGACTCACAATTCTCGGGAATGCTTCCCTTAGAACAGACAATCTATGCTCACTCCCATAAATCTCACCAGCTGCAATGTATATCTGTGTATCTCTATCGAATCCCAATGCTTTTAGAACCAATGCCACCTCCTCTGGAGTCAGAGGACACAGCCCTTGCGCCCTCCTCTCCTCTGAGTTTATCTCCTTCTCTCTCCACCAGGGATATGTATACCTACAGAAAGCAGAATACACCCATGCATTAACAACAACAAAACAAGACCGTACTCCAAAAAAAAGCATCAATTCAGGACATATTTTCCGAAGCCAAACCTCATCTTTTTCAGCTCTTCAGCTTCTTCCAGACTACAACCATGAGTACAACCAGAGAAAGCTAACATATCCATCTCATATCTCAGATGCAAAGCCACAAAGGGCCCTCTTTGCTGTAGAATACGGACTAGCTTAGACCCTAAAGCCTCAAGCTGTGGAGTAAACTTTAGTCCCTGGAAGTTCACCCGACACCTAAGCCGCTGGAGTGGGAGCGAAAGACCATTGTTTGCTAGACGAGTATCTGTCCTATTGAAATGCACAACCTTATGTTTACTGAAAAGCGGCAACACCTGAAAAAAAAAAAAAAAATCTTAAGACAATCAGATACACAGATCATCAGCAATGAAGAAAATGCACATGCTTGCTACCTGCTTCAAGTAATAGTTCTCATCAGACCAGCTAACAGGAGGCATTTCAAACATCTGGTACCCATACTTGCTACTATAACGTTTAGGAAGCCTCCTAAAGATCCGAACTTCATCTCTTAACGAATCAATAAAATGTCTAACATCAAAAATATCCTCAAACCCACTGCACAAAACGAAACAAAGGTTACTCCTTTAACATTACTAAAACATTGTTAAGACATGAGGGAACAGTATACCTTGGATCAGCCCAAAAAGAAGTCTTGTCAAGCTCAGGAACAACGAGAGTGAGATTAAGTAACCGAGCAACAGTCACCATATCACAAATCTAAATCCAACAAAACATAAACATTCAGAAAAAAAAACATCAAATCTAAAAAAGAAAGTAAGTAAGTAACTAACCGCAGATCGCATTTGATTAAGTCCGCCATTACAAGACACAAGTAGAATCCCATTACTTGTATAGTTTCCTGTCATTTAAAAACAAATCTCTTTATTTAACCAAACACTCAAACCACCAATTAAGACAAAACCATAAAAGAGAAACAAAAACAGACTCGGAGGAGGGAGAGGAGGAGGCAAAGGAAGCGTCTCGACAGGAGCAGAGAATCTTGAAACCTGACCAGTGAAGAAGATCCGTGTACGCCAAAGCTCACCGGCCGCGAAAAGCTGAACCAAACATGTCCAAATCAAAATGGTGGAGCAGACTGTTACGAACCAGACTTGTACACGTGGCTTCGGAGCTGGAGATGATGCAGGAGGCGGAAGCTTATCGCTCCGCGCCTGATTATTAGTCTCTGATCTAATAACTTCCATCTACCTCCCACGATCGCGTCTTCGCCGCCTCATGAGATTAATTTCTCAAAACCTAATTTTCTTTTTTTGTCTCCTCGATCTCGTGGTGTCAGATTGCTTCAAATGTAAGGGTATTGAGATTAAATTAGATGAGAAACGTGAAATGAAACTGCTTCGTCGTCACAGGTTTGAATCTCGAGGATTGATTTTATTTTTTTTTCTCCGAGAAAATTCGAAATTAAAAAAAAAAACACGAAAGAGAGGTAATAGAGAGAGGAGGTGGTGGTAAGAGTGACGAACATAAATAATTAAACCGCCAACGTGTTCTTCTATTTATTATTTTTCATCTTCAATATTAAATGCTATTGGTCAGAAAAATGGAAAAACTAACTTAATTAAATGCCATTTTTTTAGTTTATATTGTTGTCAAAATAATACTCCAATAATAATAAATGCTATTTTTTTGTCAAGATGCCAGATTCATAACGACATCCGATTTATTAGACAAGAATAAAAATGACGTTTTAAGGAAAAAGACAGAGATAGATAATATTCATTAAAGATTTGAAGAATATTCAACTATGAAAGACATTTATACAAGTAGGGAGGGAAAGGAAGAGGACACACTTGGCCTTTTTGATGGAGTCGTTGTCATTTGTCAACGCATTTTACCTAATTGAACTCTATTTATTGCACTAATCACGATCAAAAAGGTTTTTAATCTCTTTTACCCACACACTCTTTTTTATTACCATGCATATTTGTCTGTGTGTACATAACTTAAGCTTATCTTATACAGTAATATACAGAAACCATATCAGAGAAGGACTTGTCGTCAAAAAACAAATCATGACCTCCATTTGCATTACAGGCAATATTTAGCATCCCTTCCAAGTGAAGTTACTCTTTATTTTCTCTACGAAAACCTTATTTATTCTTTTTAAAATAGCCATTCATGTTTAAACTTTCAATAACATTTCTAGCTTACTAAAATCATTTGTAGTCAGTATAGGTTTGGCAGTTTGGGTAGTGAGATTCAATGAGTTCATTTATTTTTCTTCTAATTTTGGGTAATATTAAAAGATTCTTAGAAGATAAGTCCAACACCACTATTGGGCCTAAATACAAAAGCCCACTATAGAGCTTCACTAACCCTCTGCACGACTCAGAAGTGTAAGTTCAATAACTAATCCACGTATAATAACCAATAAAACACCTACGCGTGGCGATGCACGTGTTGACTGTCTCTGTCTCTTTCATTACACAGAAACAACGTAATAACATCAAAAGATTCAAAAACTCCTCAGATCAACATCTCTCTACATCGGAGCCACCATGGATCTTCACCGGAGCTCGAAGATCATACTCTTAATCCTCTCAATCTTATCTCCCGCGACGCTCTCAATGCGCTACGAGCTACTCTCAGGCCACACGAAATGCATCTACGAGGAGATTCACGCGAACGCAATGTCCGTCGGCAAATACCATATCGTAAACCCTCACGAAGATCATCCTCTCCCTGATTCTCACAAAATCACCGTAAAGGTAAACAACAACACATCCCAAAATTCACTCGAATGTTTACGCATTTTCATCAATTTGATGTCAGTGTTTGTGTGTGTGTAAAGGTGACGTCGGCACAAGGAACGGCTTATCACGAAGCGGACGGAGTTAACACGGGACAGTTCTCTTTAACGGCTTTGGAAACAGGAGATTACATAACTTGCTTCTCAGCCGTTGATCATAAACCTGAGGCGATGTTGACTATTGACTTTGATTGGAGGACGGGGGTTCAGACAAAGGATTGGTATAATGTGGCTAAGAAGAGCCAAGTTGAAGTGAGTTTTTAGTCGAAAACTAAACTCGTAGATGGAATTGGATTTGTGGTGAGAGTGTGTGAAGAGTTTTGATAGCTAGGTTAGACACGAAGACATAATGCTTAAAGTGGAAATTTTATTACTTGAATCTGAGTTAAGGCTTCGTTTGGTAACAAAATCCAACTGATATGGGGCATTTGAGAAGAAAGATTGATTAGTTAAGACTAGGTTTTTGTAGACGAAAGAGCAAAAAACTAGCTTGCGATGATGACATTATAGCCTCTTAAAGGGGTTGTAGAGTTCTTAAAGATTTGCTTTATTTGGTTGCTTCAACACATTCTTCTTTCCCTTATGAATAATGATTGATCTGGTTCAAAGTGAAAATAGATAGGACTAGTCTTTTGCAGACAAGAGAGAAAAAAACTAGCTTTCAATGTGGCTGCAGAGATCTTAAAAGTTTGTTTTGTTTTAACTTTTTTTTTTTGTGTGGTTGGATCTTTGATGTTGATTGGCTAGACGATGGAGTTGGAGGTTAAGAAGTTATTGGACACTGTTACTTCCATCCACGAGGAGTTGTATTATCTCCGCGACAGGTAGTTTTACACTAAAGCCTATCTTTCGCTTTCCAAGTGTGTGAGGAAGAGAATATCTTCTTATGGTGTATGATGTTGCAGGGAAGAAGAGATGCAAGATCTGAACATATCGACAAACTCGAAGATGGCATGGTTGAGTTTTATGTCGCTTGGGGTTTGTTTATCTGTCGCAGGTCTTCAGTTTTGGCACTTGAAGACTTTCTTCCAGAAGAAGAAAATCATCTAAAGAGAGACTCGTCATTACCATATCTTGAAGACAGAGATTGTATTGACAACCTCTAGTTTTGTTACACGACTGGATTCAGTTTTGTCAAAGAATTTCTTTATTCGATTTGCGGGAACAGACATTAACCTTGTCTGAATCACGGACGGTGACTCCAAACACTTTTTAACTAACGAACAATGACGAGTTTCCAGATCTTATTCACCACAAAGAGAAAACAATCAACCAATAAAAGATATAAAAGCAAAACAGGGAACCTTTTCACATAGATTTGCACAGACGTCATAAACACAACAATTGATCTCTGGCAAGTTTGGGTCAGTCACATACTATACTAATAAACAAACACAAAATACAATTTGTTCTTACAACATATAAAACTGCATATCCACAATGTGTAACCTATCCTCTAAAACAACACAAAGATATAACACATAACACCCCCTCCCCCTGTAATTTTCCTCATGTACAGATGAATTCACACAAGTAAATAGAAATCTGAAAACCTAAGAAGCTTTTTAAGTATCACAGCAGAACATAGAAGAACAACCCCTTCTGATGAACTCTGTGAGAAACAGAGTTTTCTTCTCTTAAATTGTTTGCTCTTCTTTCAGCCTAAGACGCGCAACGGGCTGCTGCTGCTGCTGATTTAAGTTAGCCAAACCGCCATGCCTTAACTGTGCCGCTGCAGCAGCGGCATGGCTGCTTGATTTAGCTGCTGGAGGGTCATGGTTATGTTTTCCTTCATATGTTGTTACTACAGCTTTTGGATCTGTTGCTGCTCTCTCTACATGTTTCCTCACTCCACATCCTTGTGTTGTGCACTTGTAGTAACTCCTTTAAATCAAAACGTGAAAACATTAACAAGAATGTTTTGAGAAATAAACTATAATCAGTAGATGATTTTTTAGTGTATTATTACCTAGGATAAGGATTCCCTTTGACAACTTTCTGTCCATATTTACGCCACCTATATCCATCATCTAAAAGATCAACTTCACTTGTTGTCTGAACTATAATTCTAGGCTCTGCCACTGTTCTATGTGAAGCAGCAACAGCAGCAGCTGGTTCCAATACTCGAACTTCTGTACTTCTGCACATTCAAACATCTCTCTCATCAAAAAAAAAAATGGATGATACAATCAATCATTATCAAAGCTTATTAACTATATACCTTCTCTTGGGATCAGGCTCATCTTCAACTTTCTTTCTTACACCAGTTTCTTCATTACCAACTTCTTCGCTGTCACTTGCCTCAGACATTTGCTCTGTCGTAGCTTGACTTCCTGCTTCATGTTGTTCTCTCGTAGTTTTGTTATTAACCGAACTCCCATTAAGATTTGTGGTGTTATCTTTGTTGCCTCGTTTAGTGTTTTGAGGAGGTTCGTGATTGTGCTGACCTTTGTAGATGATTTCAGTTACTTGTCCATCAAGAGACCTCTCAACCTTCTTCTTGACAGGACATCTAGGACTCGTGCACTTGTAATAGCTTCGAGGAAACTCACTGCCTTTAACTTGCTTTTGCCCATACTTTCTCCAGTTATAGCCATCATCAGCTGGTTTGTCAACGTTTAGAGGCTGTTGTGACCGGTGCTCAACGATGGTTATATCTGAGGTTTCTCTTTGAGCTAGTTGTGAGGAATCAGGAGCTGAGTTCAGGTTCTGAGGTTGACCAGATGAAAATGATTGAGCCTGAGAGGAAGGAAGGTTCTCGGTTTGGGGTTGCATATTGGCATTGGCTTGAACTGCTTCTGCTTGTGCTGTGACTTGTGCTAGTGCTTGCTGATGTGTCATCCCATATGATCCCTGCACATTATTACATTCCATATTTGATGAGTATATGATCAACAAGCCCTGAATGTTCCTACCTTTTCAATATTAGTTGAACTGCAAAGTTCTTTCCTCTACTAGACATTCCAAACATCTCTCTAATAAAAACCCTCATACAACTCTAATCTGATTTCTCAAATTTTTGACCTAAAATGAAAAAGAACTAAATGTTTTGTTTTGCTTTCCATCTCCCAGACAAATGGCTATTACAAGTCTTTGTTCTGTTTGCTAACAAAAAAAAAAACGTGTCGTTTTGCCTAAGCAGCCAACCAAGCAAAAGAAACAGCTCAACAAGAAACTTTCCCTTTCCATAAATAGATTTTTGTAACTTTTAACCAAAATAGAAACTTGTTGATACCTGAGCGGGAGAGAAAAGACCCAAGAAGCTCGGTGAATCAAGCAACATCGCCGGACTTAGCCCTGGAGGTACGGTGAACGTCGACGGTGGTGACTGAGAAACCATCAAACCCGTGGGTCTGCTCTGTTTAAATCTCGCGTCACCAACATCAACACTAGAGCTATTAGTACTATTCCTTTCACTACCCGCCGGAGAAGGCATGACACCTGCAAGGAGCTGAGAGAAAGACCTACGAGACTCATCGGAATCAGAGAACATGTTTGAGACAAGAGTCATCGGACCAGGGCTGAATCCAACTCCACCGTTGAAGAACATCTCACTAAACGGCCGTGGAGGAAGAGATAGAGTGGGTCGCGATGAAGAAGCTCCGGTGGACTTTGATGTCGACGGAAGCTCTTCCTTTTCCGACATCGATCCTCAAAAATTAACAAACAGAGGAAGAAAGATAAATCATTTTTGTATATAACTGTCTGTGCGAATCAGTGTCGTGTTTCGCTCCGTTTTTTTTTTTTTTTGGCTGTTTTTATGTTTCTTTTAATGGAGATTTTTCGAGGTTTTTCTTCTTTTCTGTTCTATTAAACGGATCTATAAAACATTTAAAGATTAGAAGCTTTTGTGTTCTTCTCGCAGTAGAAAAAAAAGTCCACGATGCAGATATGTTAAAGAAAGAAAGCTCCCTCTCTCCGTTTTTTTTTTTTGTATGTAAAGTACTCAAATTCATTTTCTTTTTCTAAGAATTTAATTAAAATTATTCATTTTTTTTTTGGTGTAAATTAAAATTATTCATATGAGTGAGTAATGTGCAGAAAGAAATTCATTTTCTTTTCGAAATGTAACTTTTTTCCCTAAAAAATCCAGCTTATAAGGATGTTTTCAGAAAGAAAAAAAAAACTTATTATGGAAGTTTATAAAATAGAGTTTTTTGTCAACTTGAAAAGTTAATAAAATAGATAACTCATTGTAAATTGCAATATTTTACAATTTTACGAGACTTTAAATCAGGAGTAATAAGTTGACAAATATTAGAAGTAGAACATATTTTATATGGTACGTGTCATGGTCAATAAAGCTGGATCTGGAAGTATATTATGAGGAATAGTATAAAAAGGTGTATTAACCTTTAACCCAAAGAAAACGAAATTTTCATACCAAATTGATGTATTTATTCGATTTCAGTTTAGGCTTTGTCTTTCTTACAAAAGTGTCGGTATAGTATTGTACGATGAACCTGGCAGACAAGGCCACTTCTACTCCACGTTGAATGAATACTGAAACGATAGCTGGCATTCCTTTTTCAAAGCCCATTTTTTCTTAACGGACTATCGAATAAAGGCCATAAATGTTTCAAAATATCATATAACGATCGAGAAAGCCTAAGAGACGTTTTTGCTGAGCTTTAATACTAAAAGACCTTTTAGGGGATGTGCCTCTAGTTTAAGGAGAGTATACCACCGTTGGATTACATGATATATTCTGTTTAACGGACTGAGATGAGATCACCACTTTGTCCCAGGTGTTTCAAAAGCTAAGTATTTGTTCAAGTATGGCCAAAGTAAATACATATTTGATCACACATCTTTTTTTTTTATAATCAAGAATTTTGGTTCTTTGGCCATTATAGTCTAATTCTAAGATAAAAATAAACAGAACATCATTTCAAAGTCTCAATAATAATTGATTGTAGATTATTTTAAACACATCTAAATGATTTTAAACACACATATTACTATGATGAAAAGAACATTAAAGACTATATGTGTCCAAAACCATCTTGTTACGATGAATGAATATTAAAAACTATTATAAAATAATAAACCTGTATAGTTTTTTTTTTGCTGACATTTGGTGCAATAAAATATTGAATAGTTATAATAATAAATATTTATACAGTGTTATGACTATTATTTTAGGCACTAGGTATGTTCACCAAATTTTGTGTTCGTTAGTATAATAAACTATATGTAAACCAGTAATGTATCTAATAAATTATTTATAACTTCTAATAAAATGTTATATACAAAAAATTAGGCCTGCGACAATTAACCGGAACCGAATATCCGAACCGGATCCGACCCGGAATAGACCGGTTCGGTTCGGTTTCGGTCATGGCACAATTAACCGATGGGTATTGATGTTGATTATCCATGGGTATCGGTTCGGTTTCGGTTTTTACCCGGAACCGATCGGGTACCCGATTAAACCGGATTCTACATTTAAAAAATATAGAATTGTGTCCAGGAGGAGTCGAACCCGGATTAGAGGGACAAGTTACCAGGAGCAATACCACTGAACTGACTCAACATCGTTGTACATTAGTACATTCTACTAGTATATATATGTTTTTCTATTTTATTTTTATTTTTATTTTAAAAAATAAATTTAAAAAATAAAAATAAAACAAAATATTAATATTTCGGGTTTAAATTTGAATACCCGAACCGACCCGGAACCGGGGTGGAACCGATCCGGATCCGAACCGAAGTTTACTAAGTACTAGTTGGGTATAGTTTTCTTATAACCGATTTACCCGGAACCGAACGGATATTATCCGGAACCGTACCGAATATCCGAAGTCCCAGCCCTACAAAAAATGGACGAGACCGGAATTTTAAATAGTTTTTTTTTTTGCAAAAGGGGATGGAGGTGAGCTAGTGGGAGTCGAGTGGCAAATAATTTACTCTTTTTCGATACCAAATTTATTTTGTTTTAATATCAACTACCAAGCGATCAAAATAGTTCCGATGTGATATGCATATAATTGTATAGTGCGAGTAACGATAGAGTAACATATAATTCTACACAATAGTTTTCAACCACCATGATTTCTGTAGAATCTTAATTTATTAATTATTTTGTTATTTTTAACATAGAGATTCTTTGGTAGTATTTAGATGAAACTATAGGTAAAATAGGAGAGACAGGATAAGTATCTCTGCAACCATACTTTAAGAACTTTAGCAACAAAAAAAAAACCCATACTTAAAGAACTTATCAAACTATTCATTTGCCATCTGATTTGGTAAACTGGTTTAAGTTTAAAAAAATCAGATAAATAAATTACATTTTAAAACTAATATAAACAATGGTGAGTTTGATAGCATTGGCATCACTTATTGAATGAAGCTTATATTCAACCGTCAAGGTTGCCCTTACTACTCTGCAGCTTATTAGCCTTGCCATATCACTTACTGAGAATACTTATACTAAAAAATATCAATATTCTTAAATTAGATTAAACCTTTTTAAGAAAAAAAACTACAAGAATGATTTTATTGTGGCCGTAAAACACAATTGTTTGATACATATGTGATATGTCAAAGAAAAATGACAGTTGCGTAAGGCTAGCATGTCTATGTATATATCTATGGATTTTTATGAGTTATTAACACTATAGGACAGTTTCTACGTTTTTATTACACTACAGGACAGTTTCCACTACTAAGGTAGTTTATCTTAACTAAAAAGAAACCAAAAGAACAAGTAGGGTCCATCAGTTTATCTCTCCTTATATTTTACTTTTATCGTTGTTCTTTTCTCTCACTTACTTGAGAGATAATTTATGTTATTCATCACACAACCAAGTTTTTCTTTTTTTTCTTATTATTATCTAGATGAAAAACAAAGAAAAAAATCTGGGAAATTTTTAATTTTCAATCAAACAAGATTTTGGGTGATAGATGTAGTGTAGAAGATGACGAGATGTAAACGGTCGGAGAAAAAAACTTTTTGGAGTAAGTGTTTTTGATTCTTTTGTTTTATTTGTGTTTTTGACAAACAATTACCAGTGACATCATCTTCTTCGACGTGCTCCTTCTTCAACGTCAGAGGTCAAGGATCAAGCTTCACTAATGTTTATGTCATATTTGTCTCAAGTCTCACCTCATCTTCATTGGCTCATCTCTGATCAGCAGTCCATGGACAGAAATGAAACTTCAGCAACAATGGCCAACTTTGATGTTTTTGCACATTTAGTCCTTAAGCTATCATATAAGTTTTTTTTTGGCTCTAAACTTTTTTATTTGTAGAAACATCCTATTAAAACTCATTAAAATCATAACCTATTACTCAGCTTGTGTACCATATACAAGTAAAATGGTGTGGATGCGGGATATTGAGTATTAGTATATATATTTGATTACATAGTGTACACATGTACACTTTGATGATAGTGTACACATGTACACTATGATAGATACATCATGTAAGATATACATATTTTTAAAAATATATCAAAATAGTTCATCAAGAAGAAGATTGTACATTCTGATATATCTTATACACATATACACTATAATATAGTTGTCCACATGAAACTAGGTAAGGTAGACGTAGTTCAAAAATATACATTTTGAAATTAATGACGTTAAGATACATGTTGAAATTAATGTATATATATGTACATTATGAAGTTGATGTACACATGTACAATATGAGGTAATGTAGATATGTACAACGTGAATTTTCACATGGATTATTTGAAGAGAACATGTTTTAAAAATCTTTATGTAGCTATGCTAATGTAAAAAAGCTCTGAAAAGAGTTGCATTTCAAATCTTTAAAGTAGGTGTCGATGCTCTGACATCTCATGGTAAACCTATATTTTCTCATCGGCACTCATGTACACATTCACATTTTCAAATTAATGTACACATGTACATTAAAAAGTCGATGTACACATGTACAACTCAGATAATATAAAGAACATTCCTCATAATCGTGGTTTAAACTGTTAAAACACATAAATATGATAAAATATATCAATGTGTACACACATTGCATTATCCACATGTACGTTTATATGAGTTATATCCATGTGTACATCATGTGCTCAATGAAATATGTACATATTTGAGATATATTTTATCGAAATTTTAGGTGTCTTTAGTTGTTTTATTGTATTTTTATAGATGTATTCCTACTACAAAGGGTTAAAATATAGCATCTGAAATTTCTGGAATGAAATCAATGACTAATTTTCACATTTAAAAGTATTGGGGTTACAAAATAAATAACAAATAAGTTTAAGGACCAAATATGTAAAAATGTCCAAATTAACCATTGTTGGTCTTAAGCTTGTTGTGCTAGTTTCAGAGCGCTAGGAGAGGTAGGAACGTCACAGCGACGATGAAACATGGCGAGAAAATATAAAATGAGACACAACACGGCATATCGAGAATTTTTAGTAAAAATTAAAGATAAGCTAAAGTTGAGGAACGAAGGAGAAAGAAGATGTTTCTATGGAAACGAGAGCTTAGGTTACGGTGATGACAAACCTTTGTTTTGTTCTTGTTAATCGGAGCTGGTGAAGATTGACAAGAAGATCCGTAGGAAATTGGAAAAGGAGATGGGAAGAAGTGTTTATGAAACACATAAAATCGGGACCGCTGAAAAAAAAGGGCATCTAATCCAATGGTCTATAATAGAGGCAGATATCTGTCTAATCATCAATGGTGAGGATTAATATGAGGCGTTGGATAGGATACAGATCAAGGGTTAAGGCTTTTTCCCGTTTAAACCAAATATGTAGTTAATTGATTGGTAACTATGTTGTTTAGGATAACGAGAGGGAGGGAAGATAGTTATAAGAAAGTGTGTATGTAGCAAGAACTGCCTTTTTATGGCATTTAAAACATATTTTGTGAATTAATATTTTGAAATTGGTGGACATTATTATGTTACAAATTCATTATATCCAAGAAAAACACTTGTTTAAAATTATATAGTTTATAAATTAGCTTATATAAGGTTTGTATGTACATTGCTATATCCCGAAAATATAGTAGTGGTTTCGGTCCGGATCTAGGAAAAAATACGTATTTGATTTTTTTTCTTCANTTACAAATTCATTATATCCAAGAAAAACACTTGTTTAAAATTATATAGTTTATAAATTAGCTTATATAAGGTTTGTATGTACATTGCTATATCCCGAAAATATAGTAGTGGTTTCGGTCCGGATCTAGGAAAAAATACGTATTTGATTTTTTTTCTTCAGACATGTGGTCTCTGTTCAATTCCAGGTTGTACCCGAGAAGCATCCGGATATCTAAAGTATTTGAAATGTTTTATGTGTATTAAGTATATCCGGGTTTTTCTGATATATATACGGTATTTCAAATGTATTTTTAATAATATGATTTTTTTTTAAGTTTTGGATCAAAGTTTCCGTTTTTACTTTCGAGTTTCGAGTAAAAATTCGTTTAAAAAACATTTGGTATTGAGGTGCATTTTATAAGAGCCATATTTATTGAGCACTTGAAACTTCAAATTTTCTTGGTATGTTTTGGCTAATTTAATATTATAGATTTTTCAAATATATTAATAGTTTTTAACCTTATACTAAATTAAAAAAATTATTTAAATACTTTCATTTAAAAATATTTTAACCTAAAATATAATTTTGGTTTTACATATATTTTGCTAAAGTATTTGTATTAAATTTTTTTGTTTTAATATTTGGACCTATATATTATAGTTGTCTTTAAAAATAAGGTGGCTCAAGCAAATGATATAGTTTTGGTATAACGTTTTTCGTATCAAAATTATTTTGTTTAATAAATAAAAATATTGACTAAGGTATTGTTAGAGAAATATAAAGTTAATTATATGGTATAATGTTTTTGTTATTGATGTATAATAAGCAATAAGAATATAAGATAGACTAAAGCAAAATGTTGATATGTATTGCACATTACTTTTTACTGTTAGAGAAATATAAGATAAGACTAAAATATCGTTTAGAGTAGAATATTAGAAATATTTGATTAGATGATATTTAAGTGGAATGAATAAGAAATGTTGTTGTATGACATTTTCATATATACCACTATTACGTATTTTTCATATATTATATTAAATAGATAAATGGTGTTGAATGACTTTTATTAACGTTGATTAGTAATAACGTTAACATATGTGTTGTCAAAAAAAAAACATATGTGTTTTGTCTTATTTACTTTGGTTCAATACTTATATTTGAGGGGAGCTGTAACTTAATTATTATGTGTCTTAGTTAAGTTAAGAATAATGAACGATTAAAATAAAAACTAATAGAATAGTAATTCATTTAATTTAGGTAAGGATCCCACAAATTGTATTGCTATAATATAGGGTGAATATATGGCATGAGTTTATAATATATAAAGAGGAGACACAAAAAAAGGAAATAGTCCAAACAACTTTTATAGGTAGATTTATTTAAACTCCTTCTCTTTTAATAGTATAGATTCCCAACTTATCTTTGAACCCAATAAAAGCATTATCACTGTTGATATATATAATATCTTGTAAATAATACAGACCATTCGGTCTAAGTCTTCGAGTTATTTGATCAACTATATATTAAAATACAAAGGTATAGCATTAAAATTCAATATGCTACTTAATCCATTTATAGCATTCTCTAGTTAAGCGTTTAAGATAGTTTACTCTTACTAAATGAAAGAACAATTAAAACTCAGTCAAAAAGTTATACTAATGTCTAGCGGTAAAATTGGTTAACGCGTATACATCTACTGCTATATTCTTCTTGGATTTTTTTTTTCTTAAATGAGACATGGTAGTAAAATATTGGCCTTACCTTTATATTCAAATACGGTTAACCATGTGTATTTGTGACACAAGAGACAAAACAAAATGAGCGTAGCTTAGATTTTTACCGAATCCCAATTATTGTAAAACCAGATATACTTTCATGCATATATTTACACCTCAGTTTTTAAGAGTTTTGACCATCTCGATAAAAGGATGGTAATTATTTTGTCACGCCTTTAAGGGCTAAATTCACTTTATTATTTACATAAGTTAAGAAAAATTACATAAAATATGTGGACGGGTGATAGAGCTCAAAAGAAAACAAAAAATATAGGTTTGGGACATTCAGCCAACCAATGCGTTGCACACACTGAACGTATCAAATATCAACATTACCATTTAAATTCATGGCTAGTGTGCCTTACGGCCTTTAAAAATACCTTTCTATTAAAAGAATTATAATTAGATCCTTATTATTCTCTTTTAAACCTTTGAAAACTACGCTCATAGATCCATTGTCCAAATTTTTAATTATTTCTTAAACTCCAAAATTAACTTCGATCAACAGTTAAAAAAAATTATCTAACAAAAGTTATAATTTCCTCGGTATATAAAACCAAAAATGATTCCACAGAAGCCAACGAGCTAGAGATGCAAGAAAATAAGTATTTAGCCGGGACACATGCTTTGTTTGCTGTCAACAGTTTATTAATTACAGCTTTATTCAATTATTTTTTTGAAATAATGATTCATGTCTGTTACCATATGTTTAAAATGTACTTTTAGAACCACAAATATATATGGAGATAATCTAGAAGATAACCATTTCACATTTCAATGCTTTATTATATATTAACTAATTAATTTAATAAAATAATATATATAATTTACATAATTCATTGTTATATATAAGAGAGGAAATCATAAGTATGTATATATAAATTATTACTATAATAAAACAAAACATGATTAGTTGGGTGGGCTGTTGAAACTTTCTTTAGCGTTAATTTGTATATACAACATTTAACATCCTCAATTATGATATATGTTAATTTCTAAAATATAGCAAAACCAATAAAAAGCTGTAAAATCTTCATCTATTAAACTTTTGTATCTTTGCTGTAGGAAAGAAAAATATATGACTGTAAATATATATTATGATTTCTATTAATAATTATCCGCATGTTCCGTGGATTATCTACAAAATTAAGTAGGACGGAATGAATAAATTTATTTTCTTTGTGGGTTAGCCGGGTTGGGCAGCGCGAATTTGATCTGCTTCCTAGCATCAAACGTTGTTATTTGATATTATTTTTTCAAAATAAAACTACACAATTACATATAATATATTTACATAGATATTGATGGTAATAATAAATTAAAATCTACAATAATTTTAGAATGTTATATTAGATAAGAATATTTTATATCATCAAAACAAAAAAAATTATCGATCTATCTATAAATAAAATGATAAAAATGGTATCTACGGTTTTTAAAAGCTAGTAAAAAATCTAATTAGTATTTATAAGTTGTGAAAAGCCAAGAGTTATTACAAAGAGGAACAAAATAAGGTGAAAAAGGTAGAAGAAAAAGCAGAGAAGAGAATAAAAAAGGGAGGAAGGGAAGAGAAGACCGGATGTTGACAAAATAAATTTAATGTCACTGTTGTTGTTGTTGTTGTGTTGATAGATGATAGATAGATAGAAGAGAGGGTCGTTTGTTTTTGTGATTTTCGGATCTTTCCTTTTCTCCTCTTAACTTATAACTTCTTCTTCTTATTATTATTATCGCTCCCAAAAAGAAGCAGACGAAGAAAGAACAAGTTGAGAACAAATAAAAGGAGTTTTATTTTCCTCTCCGGCTAATTTTTTTTTCTTGTCTTGGTAGAGAGAGAGAGTGGCCCAGTTAGATCGAAGATTACGATCTATATTTTTTTTTCTCTTCCGTACTTTATTTTTTTTTCGTTTGTTAAACTTTGTTAAAAACTTGTAAAATCCTCATTTTTAGTCTTGTGAAGAAAGCATCGATGCAAGTTGGGGATAATAGGATGTGGTTTTGAGGTAAAAACCTCACCTTTCTTCTTCTTCTTTTAAACTCTGTTGATTTTTATTTTCATTTGATGATTTTTAATTTTTTAATTCCCTTTAGATTAATCCATCTCTTCTGTCAATTTGGTTACATTTCATGTCCTAATATTTTACAGATTCTTGGTAATCTAACTTTAGCTATTACCGAATCAAAACCCTTTTATACTTAAAGTCTGTGAAAATTCTCATCATTCATTTCTGCTTATATATGTTTTTATAAAGCTAATTCAGAAATGGGTTTATGGTGGTGGAACTAAATTGAGTTCCTTTAGTTAGTATAGTTTGGTTAATGCTTGTTGTCTTGATTTAAGGATTTGGTGAGGTTGAACCAGATTAAGTTGATGGAGTAATAAAGTTTCTTTTTTTTAATGAATTGGGGAACAATGCTAATGTCTTTTTCACTCTCTTGTCCTACACTGAAGTTTTTGTTTTTGTTTTTGTTGTGGAGCAGGAATGGGAACAAAGGTGCATTCTGAAACCTTATCACCTGGAGGATATCATCACTCTATGAGAGATCTCAACAACGATTCCAACGGTTTTAGTAGATTGCCATTGTTCAACAGTGACAGTAATAATAATAGAAACTCAGCCAATGATCAATCCTACAAAGATGTGGTGAGAAGAACAATGCTCGAACACGAAGCTGTTTTCAAGTCACAGGTTAGTTAGTTAGTAGATGATTCTCTCTGTGTAACTTTCTCTGCCTTTGGTTGATTATATGTTTTGTAATCTTTAACTTAGGTTTTGGAACTTCACCGGGTTTACGGGATACAAAAGGACATGATGGATGAACTGAAAAGGAAACAGTTTAATAAAGAATTGTTTCCACACGAGGCATCATGTTCATCTCAAGCTACTAATGATGATCTCCGTAAATGGAAAACGCCTACTTTCCCTTTGTCAAACTCGGTTTACGATAAGCCATCCATGTCGGTAGTGGAGGACAGTGGCCATTCTCCCATGAAAGGTAGCAATTCTCAAGGGGTTCCATGGCAAAATGGAGCTTGTTCCAAGGAGGTTGTTAGGCCGACGAAAATCAGGAAAAAGATGATAGATCTTTGTCTTCCGGCTGATGAGTACATTGATGACAGTGAAGACGTTGTAGAGTTGAAAAATCACAGAGTTTGTGGCGCATATCCTAATGGAGCTGAGCCTCGAGGAGATAGTCTGAGAGTTGGGTATGGGTCTAGTAGTAGAAGCAATGGCTTGGCTGATTTGAATGAACCATTTAATGCTCAAGAATCACATGAAGTTGCTTATGGCCACTCCCGTGACTACGGAAAGGTTCTGAACTCAGGCAGTGTAAGGGAGCATGTTCCTGTTACCTCTCTGTATCCAGATGAGAACGGTAAACCGAAAGCTTGGCCACAACAACACCCCTTAAGAATTGGTAAAGATGATCCACTAAGTTGTAAGTTGTTGGATTTTTTTTCTTCTTTTGTTTCTAAATTTTTGTATCTGCAGATCATTACAGTGGCACACATAAGTCTGGTACTCCATTTCTTCAACCGAGCAAGCCACTGGATTCAATGTCTCAGCCTATGCAAATGAACAGTTCACAAAGAGTAATGGGTTTACCTAATGCTGGTCCTCCAAGCAAGGCAGACTTCTGGAGAGGAAAGACGTTTATTGACCTAGAAGCTGATGATACCAACACTAGTCATGAAATCATCCATGAATCAAGTTTTGCTTCTCATCAACCACGCCACTTGTATCCATATAATCCTCCAGAGTCTGCTGTTCCGTGGAACCGTCCGCATTCTTCTTGGCGTCATCCTAACTTTGGCATCCCTCAGAGAGTTGCTTCATCGCAGAGATATCCGGTTCTTAACCTCTCTGACACAAATGCTCATAAACAAGGGTGTCTCGGAGATAGATTACAGTTTGAAAGCAATGCTAGAAATAACATGTTTTACAATGAGTGTTCTTCTTCATCGAAATCAAAGTTCTCTGGGACTGGCTATAATTATCCTAACGGAGGAAGAAATGATTATACCCCGGGGAATGCATTCTTGGATCTGAATGGCTCTGAGGTGAAGTCCGTGAGAGATTTGAACTTGAATGTGACACTTTCAAACACTTCTGTTGTTGAAGTCAGAAAGGATGAGGAACATCTGGCTACTTTACCATGGCTTGTAAAACCCAAGTCTGCTTGTAACTCTGAGGCGGCTGATGGGAGATGGAATCTTAACAGTAATGAAGCTGTTCCGAGCTCTTCTTTGAAACCTTCCAACGTCAAAGAGGAGGCAGGAAACAGTGTTCAGAACCTTATGTGGCTTGAGAGGTTAAAGTCTGGTTCTTGTTCAAGTAAACCAGAGACTGAGAAGCTCAGAGCTGGAACTGCTTATAGAGATGAATCCAACGCAGAAAGAGATAAAGTTAGGATAATGCTAGACATTAACGAACCGTGTGAACCACTTTCTGATGAGGATCAGCAAACGGAGGAACAGACAGGGACAAAGGTTTCGGTTAGTAGTAAGTGTAATTTTGATTTGAACATGTCAGTTAGTGAAGATGAAGATGAAAGCTGCTCTGCTCCTACCACCAGTTCAAGACTGAACTTAAAGAGACCTATGATAGATTTGGAAACTGTTCCTGAGTCTGATGTTGAAGAAGATGATGTTTCTGGAGAAAAACCATCAGAAGAGACACCAAAAACTCTTGAGAAACCGCCAGAGTTTGAAAACATAGCAGCAGAAACTATAGTTGCCATATCTTCAGCTTGCCTAGATAGAGAGCTTGAAGCTATTGCTTCATCTCCAGAAACAGCCATCCTTCACTGGTTTGCAGAAACAGTAGACACGCACAGAGAGAATCTAGACCAAAAGCTAGCTTCTGTCTCGAGGTACCAATCGCGTTCTATTGAAGAGATAGATTACTTCGAGTCAATGACCCTGCAGCTACCTGAGATCAGAGAAGAAGAGTACATGCCTACACCGTTAGTCCCTGAAGACCTCATATTAGAGGAAACCTCTACGGTCACAAGCCACCAAAGACCAAGAAGAGGAAACGCTAGAAAAGGAAAACAGAGACGAGACTTCCAAAGAGACATCCTCCCTGGACTTTTATCTCTTTCGAAACACGAAGTAACAGAAGACATTCACATGTTTGATGGGTTCATGAGAGCAACGGGGAGCTCCTGGACTCCAACCGGTTTAACGAGGAAGAAAACAGGTGCAAGAGGAAGACCAAGACGTGTCATAACAGTCCCTGAACCGGTGGTGTATTACCCGGTTCAGGCTCCTCCTTGTCCCCCTTCGGTTCAGGCTCCTCCTTGTCCCCCTTTGGTTCAACAACATGTGGGGAACAATGGTGAGATTGAAATGGGGTTTGAAGATGGAAGCTTTGGAGGTTGGGGTAAAATGACAAGAAGGCCGAGAAGACAGAGATGTCCTGTAACTACAAGTGTAACCAACGTTCAACATCACACGCGGATGTCACGTGATGGTTGGGAGTAATTGTATTTTGATACCATAGATTATCATCATTACTTGTCTGATTCTTTTCCAAAATGTTTATCGTATAGAGAGGTAGAAAGATATAATATCAGACTGTTTGTGATAGATATTTTCATCGAGGAATAATTTTTATTTATTTTCGCTTGGTGATATATCTTGAAGATTTTCATTTTGAAACTGGAATCTAAATTGGTTGATTTTTTTCGTTTTAATTGGGTTTCACTTCTTATAAATAAGAAACAGAAAGTAATTTTGGCTATGTCAATAAAAATGCATGGGCCTTATTTTGGTTCTTTTGCTCACGTAATCAAATTGCCATTGTGTATTTAGGCTGCACTTCTTATAAATAAGAAACAGAAAGTAATTTTATATTTTTGTAACATTTGTTTGAAAAGAATGAAATGCTCGTTTGATTAATTCCACAACAATTCTAAAGAAAATACAAAGAAAAACATTTCTAACATTTTTATACAATATTGATAAGAAATGAACAGAATGAAATAAGTGTTATTCCATTTTTCAAAAAAAAAATATTGATTTTATTTAATCCAATTTTATTCCACTAATTCCATGGTTATCATTTACAGCATTAATTTGTAGTTTCACTAATCTTTTTTGCTCCCTAGTTTGTTTTATAGACGTGTGTTAAAAAAAAGAGAGAATTAGGGAAATGCCTATAATAGAGGCTTTAATTAGCAGTTTGCCCATGATGGGACATTTGGGGATGAAAACATACATTTTGTTTGGTTTTGGACGAAAATGTCCTTGGTAACTGACACACTTTTCTGTTGGAAATCAGAGAAGCGACAGTCCTATTACATATAGCTACATCACTTGTGTCCACATGTTTGCTAAATTGTTTTAAAGACTAGCAATATTATTGAATAATAATATTTTTGAAAATATAATATCAAAATATTTTAATAGATAAAATAATCTAACATTTATATTGTTGAAAACATAAATTACAATTGATTACAAAATCTCAACATCTCTAAAATCTACAATTTTTTTTTAATCATATCAAATGTTATCTGTAACAAATAATGTAAATGTTAATAGATGTGTTAACTGTTAACAAATGCATGTACCAGAGGTGTTAGCTGTTAATAAATTTGTTAACAGTTATTGTCTCTGTTAACACATCTGATACATGTATTTGTTAACAGCTAAGACATTTGTTAACATCTATAAAAATTGTTAACGGTTAATGTCTCTGTTAATACACATGGACGTGTATTTGTTAACAGTTAACATCACATTATTTTCTATATATAATATTTATAACACATCTCATAGTATTATATATGGAAAATAATAATTTGAAAAAATATTATTATTTCAAAAAGTAAAGAAAAAAACAAAAAAATTAAAGAGAAAATGATCAAATAATAAAAGAGATAAGGAGAAAGAAGAGAAATTAAAGGAAAGAGAGTGTGAGAGAGTGTGTCAGGAGAGAGAGAGTGTGTCAGGAGAGAGAGTGCGTCAGAAGAGAGAGAGAGAGAGTTACATGTAAAAGGAAGGGCAATTTGGTCATTATTTTTATTTATGTCAAATCATGTGTATTTGGCTAATTACATATGCTCATATGGTGTTTGAGCAAATATTCTCTAAAAAAAAATGTCTTATAGACACCAAAACGTTAAGCATAATCATAACAAATATAGATAGATTAGGACAGAACAAAGACAAATATAGATAGATTTAAGACAGAACAAAGACAAAGATAGATTACATTCGCTCCCCATACAAAACGATAAAACATAATTACTAACGTACTTAGTTATTTAGCTTTATACCATATTAAACGATACAACACAATCACTAACGTACGTACTTTATTTAATTTGATTACTTCACGATAAAATAACAATTAAAGATTAATCACTTCATGAAACCTTGAGCCATCTTAGCATAACCTCCCAAGCCACCACTAGACTCCTCTTCAGGTTTCTTAGCTTCCGGTTCAGCCTCACTTGCCGGAGGAGGAGCACCAGTAGTAGCCGGAGGAGGAGCACCGGTAGCAGCCGGAGGAGGAGTACCGGCGGCGCCGGTGGAATGTGAGGACTCGAAGTCGTTTAGATACTTCTCAGCCTTGTCAAGATACTGACCAGCGCCACTCTTCTCATCGAGCTTACCGTATTTCTGAGCAGCATCTAAGATATCAGCGCTGGCTCCAGCGACTTTAGCCTTGTCGAGCTTGTCTGACTCGTTACGAGCCGCGGCTTGAGCAGCTTCGGCTACAACCTTGGCACTAGCCATGAGCTCGGAGGATGAAGCTGGTCTGTTGACTGTTTCGGTGGTTCCTTCAACGGGTTTGTTGTGGTCTGGCTCCTCTGGTTTGGAGTCGGAGAATTTCTTTACCTGTTCGGAGAGGAAGTTCATCTTTGTTTCTTTTTTTTTTTAAATTCTGAATATGTTTTTTGTGTGTGTTGGATGTAAGAGCTAGTGGATATGTGTATATATAGACAGGATATTTGTCTACTACAAGGATATTCTTTTTTCAAATTAAATAACGGTATCATCTATTAGTTATGGGAAATAAACAGATTATAAATTTTGTTTTGTATTTTGTAAATTAATGTTATATAACTCTTCTGTAAATAATATTTACATATGTTTAAAACAAAAATAAGACCAAACCAATTTTAGAATTTCAGAAGGAGCCAAAACTCTAATCAGTTATCAAGTTTAGTACACTCTTATTATTTATTAATACTACTACAGGTGTACGTTAGAAAAGTATACTTTTGTTCGTTGATATGGGTTGTTTGTCGTGGCCGAAAGGAAATTTAGTGATGGGTCATTATTATATTTATGACTGAATGTGATGTTCGCTTGTGGATCACACAGATTGATATTTTTTCTTGTGGTGTTGAATGCATTGTTTCATGGTCGAATACGAGACATCACATAAATATCATTATTGGTCTCTTTTAAAGGCAGTCGTGTCGGTAGAAGGTTCGGTGGATGATAAATACAATCACTTTCTTTTGTCGGTAAAGTAAATTACAAGTTTTTTTTAATAAGAAAAACAAAAGGAGCATCACGTATTCACCGTTAAGGCTTTCAAACTCAGCTTCATACGTGTCTAATAAACAAATTGATTGAGCCCAACTTTTCAGAAGAAACCTTACCTTTCATGTGGGGAAGTATAGGTTGCGCTACACCTTACAAGTTACACGACATCCCAGTTACATTGAAGTACTAATGTGGATCCTCCGTGACATAACCTCTTGGTGACAAGTCAACACTCGTTTCAAACATTAATATGGAAACATGAGGTTATGATCATATGGTTGGTTACTCGTGGGTATGAGATGAGTCTTCAACAAGTTTTTGTATAGTCCAAACTTCACTGTCATGGATTGATCACTATCGAAGCAAAATAACCAATGACTCAGAAGACCACCGATAATACATTTGCTGATGATTATGCAGCCTTGTTAGTAACCACAATAAGAGCGAATCAACAGGGGAAGCAAAAACACAAGTGCAGAATGAAATATTGTGTAACGTTGTAGAGATGGTATGCGCCAGGCATTGGTATTTAGAAAACTTAACACGATTTTTTAACAATTTCAACTAAATCTTTTCTTTTACAGATTTGAGAACTTGAAAAATCTTATTAGAGACCTATGTCGTATATATATTTTTTTTTCAAAAAATTTAAGAATCCAAAGTCAATGTTTCATTCGGCTTGATCCAGAATCGGCTCTCTTTTGTATCTACCGGAATAAGTTGGTTTTAACCTATTTCGTTTGGTTGGTCTTAGGGTATCTCCAATGATACACTAATTTTTTTCTCAATAATTTACACTAAAATATAGTAATTCTATTATAGTGTAAATTTTGCTCTGATGGTTTACATTTTTTACGGCGTGGTTATGAATTTTGAAAGCAAGAGTGTCATAGCTCTCTGATTACATGGTGTATAAATTTATCTCTCACACATACACACTAATATATACAGCTACAAATAGATCATCTGTTTAAGTCTCAGAAACAAGAACATGCTTTTCCAGGAATTTTACCGGTCCTACGAACAATACCAGCTCTCTCCTTCACCTCGAACTCTTCGTTCTTCCTTTGTTTCTCAGCCTGAGCTCTAGCTCCTGAGGCAATCTGTTCGATATATTCCATGTCTTCCCTAAATCTCTGCAAACCTCTCTTTCTCCTCTGTTCTTGTTCACTCTGCTGTTTAATGTACCAAACTACCGTTAGAGAAAAACTCATTTTCAAACTATCATCATGAGGTTAAATCATATTTTACCAACCTCAGATTTGTCCAGCTTCCTTCTAGCTTTGTCCCTCTTCTTCGCTTCCCATAAATCAATCTTTCTGTTTAACTTCTCGTACCTAAGCTTGTGTAAATACATAACAATAAGTGTAATAAACAACACACATGTATAAAGTACTTTTTGTTTGTGTGTTGAGAGACTTACCTTGTTTTGATCTTAGCTAGTTCAGTTTTTTCCCAAGTATCAGCTGTAGAATCATGTTCTCGACTAATACCACCGGGACTTGGCCTTTTAGTTTCTCTAGGTGGAAGCCGCAGAGGCGAAGGTGATAGAAGTGGAGGAGGAGGTGGTGGTAGTGGTGGTGGAGCACGACGTTCTGATCTTGCCCTGACCGGTGGTTGTATCTGCATTGGTTCTGGCGGTTCAAAAACCGGTTTTCTTGGTCTTTCATGTTTCTCCCCTGAATCTTCTTCACTTCCTTTGGTGTGATCTTCTTTCAAGATCATGGAGAATGTAGGAGTCTTTTTGACCGACGATGACTTTCTCACTGGAGACTTTGGCGTTGGAAGTTTGTTATCGTTTAGCTCTGGTTCTTTTTGTCCTGTGTCAACGTAACAAAAATGCAAAAATAATAATTTCTAACATCCATTAAACAATAAATCTTTGATTATTTTGAAACGTCACCTGAGAGTTTTCTTGATAAGCTTCTTGGTTCCTCTATAGGAAACGTATCTTCTCGGCCACTCTGTTTTTGTTTAAAATTCAAAACTAGATTAAACTCAAACAATGAAAAACTGCTACTCTAATCAATTATGTATAATCTTAGGAACCGCTTACATGATAACTCTCTAGCAAGGTTTCTTCAGGAGTGGTTATGGCATAAGCAGTGGCCGCAACTGCAACCGCGTAGTCTATGAATGAGTCATAACTTTGGTCGCTCATTTGCCTAGAGAACTGCTTCTCTAACCAGTTTGAGGGCTTCTTCTTATCTACCAGTACACATAATATGATATAAGCCCTAAGTTAATATTAATCAAGCATCGAATATTGAATATTGATAGGGGAAGTTAGCATAAGTTTGTGGCACCTTCTTCGAATGAAACAGACTTTCTTGGTGGCACTGTCTTCTCTCTAGTGGGGCTACCAACCTCATCTGTTTTTACCTGGGCAGCTCGATGCCTCCTCCTGAGATAGAGATATCAAACTTGCAAATCAATATATTAAATATGTTTACCTATATGTAGGTGTGGGTGAAAATAGAAGAGATGAATTGTGATGTTTAATGATTTACCTTGTTTGCTTGATCAAGCTATCCATTTCAACGTGAAGTATGGTGGGAGAACTTGAGAGGGTTTGGTTTAGATGTGTTGGAGGGGTTTTGAAGGGGTTTATTACTTTGCATGCAAGTTACAGATTTGGATCATAAAAGTGTGTACGTCACGTAAAGAACACTTGTTCTTCCATTCCCCTCTTTGCCTTTTTGGTTCTTTGCTTTCTCATAAGGACAGTGAAAAGATAACCTTAACCAAATGAGAAACTAAATTGAGGCATTGTTTCTTCCAACTTAAAGAACATACGAGTAACATTAGAACTAACATCAAAACATGTCCATTTGCACGCAGAGAGCCTTATTGATATGCTTAACCTTAAAACTTAGAGAGGTTCAAGAGTCCATCTCCAAGGAAGGTGATACGTCATAAACAAAAAAAAAATAGCTTACAATTTTAAATAATCGAATACTTTCATTCATTCACGAGAAAATGATTAAAATATACCTAATTTTTTTTTATCACAAATATAAATCTTAACAATTAAAATGAACAAAATAACACTTAAATGTTTTATTAAATATATAGAGTTTCGAATTTTAAAAAATTAAAAAAAAATTAAAATTTTCAAAATTAAAAATATTATTTTGATCATGTTAATTGTTGAGGTCTATTTTTGTGATAAAAACTTAAAAGAGAGACTATATGAGAGAGTTGTCATACTTTCAAATCTAACTAACAACAGAAAGCGCTAAAAACGCCGTCGTATTAAACCTCCGTTAAATATATCTTCCTTCTCCGGTTCACATTCTCCTCCTCCACCGTCGTCGCACTTATCGCCATGATCGTCAATTCCTCCATCTTCCTCCTCTTCCTCTCCCTCTTCATCTCCTCAGCTACCGCCAACACACAAATCTCCATTTCTCCCAAAACTCTAAACCGATCGGGAGATTCCGTCGTCATAAAATGGTCCGGCATCGACACACCTTCCAATCTCGACTGGCTAGGCATCTACTCCCCTCCCAACTCCCCTCACAACCACTTCATCGGCTACAAATTCCTCAACGCCTCCTCCACGTGGCAATCCGGCTCCGGCTCCATCTCCCTCCCTCTCACCAACCTCCGATCAAACTACACGTTCCGCATCTTCCGATGGACGCGATCCGAGATCGATTCCAAACACCTCGACCACGATCAGAATCCGTTACCCGGAACCAAACACCTCCTCGCCGAATCGGATCAGGTCACGTTCGGATCCGGTACGCCGGAGCAGATCCATTTAGCGTTCGAGGATGGAGTTGATAGGATGAGAGTTATGTTTGTGGCTGGGGACGGTGAAGAGAGGTTTGTGAGGTATGGTGAAAGGAAGGAGAGGTTGGGAGACTCTGTGTTGGCGCGTGGGGTTAGGTATGAGAGGGAGGATATGTGTGATGCTCCGGCTAATACTACACTCGGGTGGAGAGATCCGGGTTGGGTTTTTGATGCCGTTATGGAGAATTTGAATGGTGGTGTTAGGTATTACTATCAGGTACGAGCACAATCTGAATTGGTTATCTGTTAGTAGCCCTGGGCTTTTCGGTTCTGTTCGGTTCTTCGGTTTAGGATCCGTTCGGATATTTTTTAAAGTTTGGTTCAGTTTCAGGTCGGTTATTTTGATTTTTAGGTCGGTTTGGATAATAAAGTTGGAAATCGACTCATATCGGAAGAAATTTCAAATTTTATTCAGTTTTGTTTTTCGGTTAATCCGGGCTGAAAGAAAAAAACAGAATCTTGTTCGGATTAGTATTAAAAAATTCAGATAAAAATTAACATAATTTTAAATATTAGTAATTATTCTAATAATTTACTATTATGGTTATTTTGACTTATAAATAGTATTTTTAAATTATTTGATTATTTTAAAACTAAATATAGTTAATAATTATATACTATATTGTAGAAATTCATGTACCATCCGGTTCTCGATTTTGCTCGGTTCTAGTTTCTCGTATCTAAAAATATAGTATCCGCTAGTATAATTGATATGATCCAAACCCGAACCAAACCTAGTTTTTCGGGTTCCGGATAAATATGATCAAGCCTAGTTCAAATCCACAAAATTGTCTATTTTTTGTATATTTAATTTTTATAATTCATCAAAATAAGAATCCAAAAATTAAAATATTCAACAGAAATGTAAAAATATAATAAAAATGAATCAATGATTTGTAAACTACCAGGTCTAGTCTAGGCTCTCAATTTTCTGCTTAGTCGGCTATTCCTCTGTTAAACTGATTTACTAGCGAATATTTGAACATTGGTTGTCTTTGTTTGCATCAGGTTGGGAGTGATTCAAAGGGATGGAGTGAGATCCATAGCTTTATTGCTCGAGATGTTTCCTCAGAAGAAACCATAGCTTTCATGTTTGGAGATATGGGTTGCGCTACACCTTACACGACCTTTATCCGCACGCAGGACGAGAGTATCACCACAGTGAAGTGGATCCTACGTGACATTGAGGCTCTCGGTGACAAACCAGCTCTTGTTTCACACATTGGAGATATAAGCTACGCTCGTGGCTACTCGTGGGTGTGGGATGAGTTCTTTTCTCAGATTGAACCTATCGCCTCGAGAGTCCCTTACCATGTTTGCATTGGTAACCATGAATATGATTTCCCTACTCAGCCTTGGAAGCCTGATTGGGCAGCTTGGACTTATGGTAACGATGGTGGTGGTGAGTGTGGTGTGCCGTATAGTATGAGGTTTAACATGCCTGGAAACTCATCAGAGCCCACGGGGATGAAAGCTCCTCCTACGAGGAATCTGTATTACTCTTATGATGTGGGATCGGTTCATTTTGTGTACATCTCCACAGAGACGAATTTTCTTACAGGAGGGAGACAATACGAGTTCATAAAGCGAGATTTAGAGTCTGTGAACAGGGAGGAGACACCGTTTGTTGTTGTGCAAGGACACAGGCCAATGTACACGACGAGCAACGAGGTTAGAGATGCTATGATTAGACAGAAAATGGTTGAGAATTTAGAACCGTTGTTTGTGGAGAACAACGTGACGCTTGCTCTGTGGGGACATGTTCATAGATACGAAAGGTTTTGTCCGATAAGAAACAATACTTGTGGGAAACAGTGGCGAGGAAGCCCGGTTCATCTTGTGATTGGTATGGCTGGTCAAGATTGGCAACCGATTTGGCAGCCGAGACCGAACCATCCTGGTCTTCCTATATTCCCTCAGCCTGAACAGTCAATGTACCGTACGGGTGAGTTTGGGTACACTCGTCTTGTTGCAAACAAAGAGAAGCTCACAGTTTCATTTGTTGGTAATCACGATGGGGAAGTTCACGATACGGTTGAGATGTTAGCTTCTGGGGAAGTGATCAGTGGAAGCAAAGACGATACTGTTAAAACCGTTCCTGCATCTGCAACACTTGTGGGAAAACCTGAATCTAATGTCTCATGGTATGTCAAAGGAGCAGGCCTGATGGTTCTGGGTGTGCTTTTAGGATTCATTATCGGGTTCTTTACTCAGGGAAAGAAAGTATCTTCATCTGATAACCGTTGGATCCCAGTCAAGAACGAGGAGACTTAATACTGAAGAACTGAATCTACTTAGAGGCAACAATATTTGTATAGCATCCTTTGCCACGGTAAGAACACAAGTTTTTGTACACTATGGTAATATTGATTCTAGTGAGTTTGAAGAGTTTGTCTGGAAACCACTCTACGATGTCACAGTCTGAATGGCTTTTTGGTGTAGTAAATACATTACTATACGAGCATATAAGTACGTATTTTGGTTAAATTTTCTCTGTTTTTCTTTGGTATTTTGAGAAGAAACTGAATCAAGAAGAAAAATATCAACTGTACAGAGAAGATACGTACAGTAGTTTGTTTTTGGTAAAGGTAGTTTTATCTGGAAAGCAAGTGACGTGCTCGTTGATTAGCGCCTTGAACACGAGAGTGAAGCTCATCAATATCGTCGTCGAGGTGATCAAGAGCATTGTTTTGCCTGCACTAACAATAATACTAATAAGTATTCTACTGTATAAAAATGTATGAGAAAGTAAGTATGTTGTATGTGTGTTTATCTGACTTGTCAAGCTCGGATCCCATCTCAACGGCCATGCCCTTAAGAACACCCACAATGTCACTTAAATCTGATAGTCCATCGTCTTGCTGCAAATCAAACATACTGTTTTTTTAGAATCATGGTTAATGATAAATTAGAATTTGAAGAAGAAGAGAAACCTCGACTGCTGCAACGCGCTTGTTGGTTGGTCTAGTGGTTGGCTGCTTGATCCTCGCTTTGCACCTAAACCGAGTTTCTCTCGCTCTTCCTTGTTATTACCGCTCTTCTTTGACGGTTTATCTACACATTCGGTGACTTTATTTTATAAGAAACATGATCATCATACATACATACACATGATCTTATCATCAAGAATCATTAAAAACCTGGTGTGATCATAGGTCCTGTGCTCTCTTTACTCTTCTTTGGTTTCCATGGTTTACAAAACATTCCTCCTAAGTTGTTCAAAAGCTTCTCTCCCTAATCTCCAAACAACATCTTTATTTAATCAACCATAAAGACAAGGAACATCTATGTGCAACATTGGTTGTTTCTTCTGCTTTATAAACAGCGTACTTCAGTTCTCTAACTTCTTTGTTGTTTGACTCTGCAGATCACTAGAATTGCTGAAACCACTCTTGTACTTGTCTTCTTCGTCGAAATCTGATGTTATAAGGATTGGTTCTCAAGAAGTTCTTCTTACCAAACATCTGGAGAAAAAGCTCTGAAAGTTTGTATTACAGATGAAAAGGTTAATTTATTAAACAGTTTCTGAAGATTTTTTCTTCTTCATACAAGAAAATCTAATCCTAATTTACAAAGGTTAAAAAAGCAAAAAGTGACTGCAGATACACTATACAGAGAACTCCCTGAAAATTTTCAACTCGGGATTGTCTTAAATAATGCATTTACATACAGAGAACTAGAGAAGAGTAACAAATGAAGATCGCAGACCATTCTTCATCTACTTTCCCCTGAAGAAATCATCATCCCATGCGTCTTGACCAAAGATCTCATCGATGATGTTCGAAGTTGGAAGAAGATCAATCTTCTTACTCCAAAATTGATCTGATAGTATCGAGTCACAAGGGTCAAATGAATAAGGATGATCCTCCACAAGATCATTGCAGTGGCGCCAGTAATTTCCAACGTTGGATTCTTCTCTCTTTCTAACTGGACATCGAGAGGAGATTGCATTATTGGACTTGAAGTCATAGGACATGCATGAATCTTCTTCAGCATTCACTTCTTCTTCTTCTTCTTCTTCTTCTTCTTCTTCTTCTTCTTCTTCTTCTTCTTCTTCTTCTTCTTCTTCTTCTTCTTCTTCTTCTTCTTCTTCATCTCTTGAGAGGCTCTTTCCAGGAGTTTCAGGACCATGAAACGTGTTATCATACTCTACTTGCCACTCGTCATCATCACTATCAATGTCCAAACTTCTAGAACGATTCTGAACAGCTCGTCTTCTCAGGATAAAGACATTGAAGTAATAGCTCACAATCTCCTTCATGGTACGTGAAGGAAACGAAGACTTCAGTTGTTTCCAGAAATCCCGGTTTAGTGAAACCGGGTTGGAGTAAACAACCTCGTGGAATAGATCCTCCTCGTCTTCAGTTAGCTTGCCAGCAACTTCTTCCCCCATTTCACCGAGACCTAAGTTCAGACATCTTTCGTATCCAATAGTTTCAAACAAACCCTCTCTGTTTTCCATTATATGCTGCTGCACGCATCTGACTGACCCTTTATCCATGCAAATGCACTCCTTTCTTCCTCTACCAATTTCGTAAACCTCGGTTTCACAGTCAGGCATTGCAATAACACACTTCCCCATCATCACTTGTTCTTCTTTGTCATCAATAGCATCACGGACCTCATTCTTGACACATTCAGGAATATCAGCCTGGTAATCTGACCCAATTAGAACTGCTTTTCTTGGAGAACTCTGACACCACTCAACATCGTCTGCAAGGCAAACTGGTCTCCAGAGATAATCTGACTCTGGAGACTCATCACAAAGGGTAGATTGAGTCGTCCCACCAGACGGAGAATCTTCCTCAAAAGAGGACGTCATCCAAGAGAAAGGTGCATCAGTCTCAAACCCCTTCTCAACATTATCCTCACATTTAAATCCATAGAGATCACTCAGAACGTCGTCTCCTGCTAAAATAACACACAACAAATAAGCAAGATGCTTATGTTTATCATGTTAACCCTTCAGCAAGAGGTATGTTATTATTTTACCTATTACAACACCTGGCTTCTCTAAAGAAACACGAAATGGAACTCCTTCATCTAGTTTGGCCAGCTTATTGCAATAGCTAATCTGTCTTGCATCCTTCAAGTTGAGCTCTTGCACATCCTCAGCTTCAAAAGAACGCTTAAGACCCATGCTATGTATGTTAACCTGTAAAATAAAAAACAAAGCCTTTAGGTAACTTGGTCTGAAAGTTATATACGTCATCCACACACACTAACAGGTGAGAAACAATTATGAGTCTAAACTATCACAGTTATTACATAAGTGGCTAAGGAAAGGAAACTAAGAGTAAATTAAAAAAATCCCCAAATTATGAAAACCCTAACCCTAGATTTTTCAATTAACAGCTTAAATCATCAAATCAAGAATCGAAACTCAAATAATCGGTTAATTAACGACAACACAGACAAAAGCCCTCTATTAATTTCCAGATCTGACGAACCCTAGAACATCAAAGTCAACGAGAATCAAAATTCATTTTTTCTGGGGGAAAACTAGAATTAAGAACAGATCTGATAAGAACATCGAAGGAATTCAACATCTACCCAATAATTTTGATCAGATCTGTAGTTTAAAGATCTAGATCTAGCTCAAAACCTAGATTTGACCAAAACGAATGGATGGTATCAAAACAGGTATCAATCGAAAGAGGAAATCAAGAGGAAAACGAAAATTACAATTGATTTGAAGATCGATCTGGAAAAAGGAATAGATCTGAACACGAAGGGTATGAAAAAAATAAATTGGGGGAATTTTCGAACGCGGCTAGGGTTGAATAATCAATCGTGCCCGATTTTGAAACCCGGATTAAATTCGGATACCGAGACAACATCGAATGAGCTGTCACTTATTAAAATCATTGAATGGGTCAAATTACAAAACTATCCTCGCCGTATTTTAGCACGTGCCTAGCAACTTGCGTTGGTATATCCTTCGCATCTATTTTACTAAACCGAAACGAGATAACTTATGTCGACAGCACAGATTGATTGGTATGGAACAAACCAGACCAACCAAATTGAACCAGACTCGGTTATCATAAAAAGCCTATTTTCAAGTGTACTTTTTTTTTTGATAAAAACTTTCAAGTGTACATTTTGCTCTGATGATGCTCTCTTTGGTTGATTCTTTATGAATCATTGATCCCTGATGTTACTTGTTGAAGAAGCTATTGAAACTTTGATACTTTATACATGTTCTAGCGATTGAAACTTATATGATGTTCTTCTTAAGCTCAGATTAAAGTCATCTGTGGGCTTTCCTTTTGTAGAAACCAATGGCACTAGTTGTGATTTGTGGGAAACCTTGCAGTGGCAAATCAATAGCTGCAGTAACTTTATCTGAATCACTAAAAGAATCTGAAACAAAGCAGAACGTTAGAATCATTGATGAGGCTTCGTTTCATCTAGACCGTAACCAAAACTATGCCAACATGCCTTCAGTGAAGAACTTGAGCGGGAAGCTAAGATCAGATGTTGATAGATCTGTTTCGAGAGGCGACATTGTTATTGTAAATTTGCTTAGTGAGAAAGTGAGTTAAAAAAACATTCTTTCAAAAGCGTGAGTGTTACCACATAGTACTGGAGTCTGTACTCAATGTCTTTGTTTCCACCTTTCAACATGATACGCAATGTCATGGACATGAATGCTCGTTATGGGAATCTGAATCTTGCCATACTCCACAAAATAAAATAATTTTGGGTGATGAACTTCTCTCAGACATGTTAGCTCAGAACTGTGCAGCATAAGAACAAAAGAAAATGGAGATGCGGGGGATCGAACCCCGTGCCTCTCGCATGCAAAGCGAGCGCTCTACCATTTGAGCTACATCCCCAACTGCTAAATTTTACGCTTCATCAAATATTTTACTGTCTACTACAGATGCTCTAGTGCTTAGCAGTTAGCATATACATAAAGGAAACGGATTACATGTATTTCTCTCTTTTTATAGACACCAGATGCAAATCAAGTTATACCTAATAGAAAATTATAATGAACTTAGTAGTACAATAACTTCGTATAAACATTACATATTTGAATTCGTTTACTTCTCATATTAGGTAGCTTGTTTTTATTAGTTAACTTGTTATGCATAAGAACTAATACCCACCAAGTAGCTTATTGGAAACTATATAACTACACATATATTCCTGTTTTCTTTGATAATTTTTGGAGTGTCATGCCTATAAGTTTTATCCTTCAACATTGGTGGCTATATATATATCAAACGTTGACTTTGATTTTTTAAGGTTGAGGTTGAAGCTTTTACATACTTTCATGATAATCTATGTAATTAAGTTTATAATTGTTACAACTGTTTGATTATGATATAATATGTATATCTTATGTATTAAAACAGAAGTCATGACTTGACTTCATGTGTGATTTTTTTTTAAAAAATGGACTATTACTAGAAAGTCATGTTACATTAACTTTCTAATAATCTTATCATTATTATATCTTATGAATAATCATATCTATGATAACAAAGATATGCTTAACAATTTGGTTTTGGTAAATTATCACACTTTCCAACTTAGTCACGCAAAATATGTCAATAGATATAAGTTTAGGAATCTTCTATTATTTATAAGGAAATATGTCAATAATAGTTAAATGCATCCACAATATATTAACAAAAATCACAGATTCGTATTATGAAATATTTATATACCCTAACAAAATTTACACGCTATATATACTAGATAAATTTATTTCGATGTAAATTTTTAAAATTATTTTGTTTAAAAAAGAATTTTTTTTAAAAAATTATGTTTTGATAAAATTATTTATAATATTTATTTATGAAGCTATAAGTTTAGTTTTTAGCAAAAATTCTTCGAAGTTTATATTATCTTTGCAAATTAAAGTATACTAATATTTAATCAAGCTCTATTTATATTACTTTATCTAAAAATGAAATACTAATCTAACAAAGAATAAAATATAGAAGAAGAAACAAACACATGTTTGAAAAACATGTATAATATAGAAAATTTGAAACAATCTATTTGATTAAAACACGTATTATATAATATTATTATGTTTAGAAAACATTTACTACATATCGTAAATATGTGATTATTATAATATATACCAATTTACAAGTGAAAACAAAATGTTTATATAACTAACTATAAACAAAAACAAACACCCGCGCAGTTGCGCGGGTCAAAATCTAGTTATGTATTAATTGGCTTTTACCGTTGGTATCACACTACTCACCACAAATTCTTTTATTTTTCTCTCTGCTTATAAATTTATATGTTTCATATCCAATCAAATCACTTCTTGTTCCGTCTCAAACACCTTCATTTTACAAATTATTTACGGAATTTAATGGAATGAAACCAACATTCCACTTATTCCTTAGAAGTACTATTGATTTAGGATGATTTTTAAATTGAAAATTATGTTTTCTAGCTGATGGGACCATTCCTATTATAAAATGTGACTTTTCAATATGTGAATTTAGAAATTTCATTCATGATGATGATAGATGTGACACGTCCAAATATGATAATAGACAGTAATCCATACATAAATCAATACTAAATAAAAAGCAAAAGGTGAAAAAACTACCAAAAGTTATTTGAAGTGTTGTGATTTTGAGACCATAATATTCTACAAATCACAAGTCAACAGTCTACGAATAAGTCCAATTAAATGAATTATTGTATGGTGTTAAGAAAAATAAATCAAACAAAAAGCGTTAAATACATAATACTAAAGTAACCTCATGCAACGACCCGAGTGAGTCCCGCATATCTCCTATACGTAATGCTAATTTATCAATTTCTTCTTCTTTTTTTTTAGTTAGGACTTTATAACCATTTCAAGTTTGCAAAAGCTCTACATCTTCTCTCTAAGGCCATCATCTTAGTTTTGGTGTCTGCGTGGTTGTTGGTCGACCGTCAAAGTCTATTTTGTGCTTCCCCTAAAGAGCGATATTAAGACTTCATCATCATGAGAGCGTTTCTAGGTCTCCTGCTTCTCTTGGCCTTGACCACGTCTTCAAGTAAGTGTTTTCTTCTTTTTCTACTACCTTGAATCAAAGCTTTATGTATAGGAATGATCTTTTCAACCTGTGCCTTGAGATTGGTTTAAAAACATATATTCATTCTTGTTGTTCTCTTAATAGGTGCAATTTACTGTCTCTGCAAAGATGGAATAGGAGAGAAAGAGCTTCAAACAACAATAGACTATGCATGTGGAAGCTTAGCAGATTGTAATCCAATCCATGATAATGGTTCTTGTTACCAACCAAACACCGTAAAAAACCACTGTGATTGGGCTGTTAACAGCTACTTTCAGAAAGCAGCTCAAGTCTCTGGAAGCTGTGATTTCTCCGGAACTGCCACTACCAATCAAAACCCACCTTCCAGTAAGTCAACCATCTCTAATTAATAGTCAATAGCTTTGATGAGAGAAAATGTGACGTTGATGTCTTTTTGGTGCAGATTTGGTTAGTGGTTGCATATATCCTTCAAGTCCATCAACGACATCACCAACGGGAACTACTCCTGCGTTTGGTCCAACCGGAACCGGAGGCTTTTCAGGAAATGGTGCTTCTATTTTGGTCATTTCCCATGTTTTAACACTCTGTTTCTCATCACTAGCGTTTCTTTGGGGTTCTGATGTAAAGTTGGGATTTGGCCACGTGTAGAGAGACAAAGACATCCACTTAGATGGGGTTCGTCTTTGATTCTCTTTTGGGTGGAGAAAGAAGATTAGTCTTTTTTTTTTCCTGTTCTTTCATATATATGTAAAAGTTGGCCTAATTATAACATTGAGTGTAGAAAATACATAATACTAGTTAAGAATTGTCTGTGTTTCAATAAAAAGAAGTTAAGAATTGTCAACAGCAACTGTATCAACTCGTGGGAACCCTTACAAATATAGAATATATTGGTAAGGAAACACCTTCGGTAATGGGTCAAGGCTCTCTAAGATTATATACTTTCAACCTCTTTACAACGGCAAGTCTCTCTAACAAAACTTTGTGATCAGTTTAGCGGTAGCAGCCGGTTCGTCAACACGAGGATAGTGTCCACAGTCTGATATAGACAATCAAGATTTGATGTAATAAAAAAAACGGAAGATAAGCCCCCGGCGAGGATCGAACTCGCGGCCTTTCGCTTACGAAGCGAACGCAATACCACTATGCTACGGAGGCTCTTGGCATTTGAATTTGTGTTTGCAACACTTTACCAAAATGATCCAAATGTCTAACATGTGAGTAAATCATTGGATATTAGCTAAATTTTATTTTATATATGGAGAGAGATTCGGAAGTACACTTAACTTGCTCTTATGAGCAATGATTTAAACAAGAGTTTGAGTGTCAAAGGAGCCTACTGGTCGAGCTAGTCCAAGCTGAAGCTTTTTACGGTGGCTTCGGTGGTAGTCTCACAAGATCATCACAGTGATCGATGGTGAGATCAGACAAGCTTGGGAAGATGTGCATTGTCTTGAATACCGTCTTACAAAGGAACATATGCATCGCATCTTCAGTAGATTTCTCAGCGGAACGGTTTTACTGAATAGTTCAGGAACGTGAACCTTCTCAAGCCAAAGACTCCTCACTCGAGGCTTGTGTTACATCAAGACATCCAAGCAAAACTCTACAAGGAGATACCTTCAACATCCCAAAACTGCCGTACCTTCAAGCTATTGTCGAAGAAACTCTAATCCACACACCTAGTGCTCTCCTCTAGTGGACCCGTCTCGCTATCATCTACGTCCACGTACGTCCTAACCTTGTTCCTGCCGGAACCATACTATCTACATGTTTGTGCCTATCTCCGCACTTTTAGTTAATCAAAACGTCTTAAGAGTAAACACATTTTCTTAAACAAGAACTTTAGAAAATAGGAATCTATGTAGAACTTTGACGCTCATGTGTTCCTCTCTTAGTGGTTGACTTTATTTTTCTAAATACAATATTTTTAACAAGATACAAATTTTTAATTTGTAAAGATAGCCTTTCGGGTACACCGGAATACATTTCATTGTGGAGGGAGACCTCAGACAATGGGTGCAAATTTTTTTTTTGTTGGTAAAATGCAACTTTTTTTTTGTCAACCAATGGGTGCAACTTAAATGCACCTTTATAAAATAAGTTTTTTTATAACTGCGTGATTTCTTTACATTTTTCAAAAATGTTCACCAGTTAAAATAATAAAAAATAGAAAAATATTTCGTTTCACTTCCTTCTATTTCATTCCATATTATTCCAAAATAGCAATCATTCAAAAATTATTTCACATCAAAAATATTTGAAATAAGTGGAATGTTAATTCATTTCAAAAATATTAATTCCTATTGTTCCTTCTATTCATTTACCAGTTATATCCTATATATCAATATATGTATAATAGTAAAAATAAATAAAAGAAAAAGTACGATTTAAATAAATTCAAATATACTATAAAATTATTTCATTTTGGAGTAGAAATTAGAATTTACATCCTATTGAATCGACTCTAAAGCAGTGGGATCTTCTTGCAAAAGACAAGAAAGATAATAGATATAGTGCTAAAACTGTCGGTGGTCCACATACCAAGACATCCAGCTTTAAATTGTAATTAAATTGCATTTGGAGGGATAGGTAAGTAGTTCACCTACCTACCAAAACATCCATCCATAAATAGTAATCTTTACATTGGGAGAAAATCAGTATTTTGTAACTCACAAAAAAAGAATGAGTGAGAAGGAGCTCCCCGACCACTTGAGAGAAGACAACCTAAGCGAAGAGACCAAGACATTTCTCTCTTCACTTCCTTCCACCAACGATTTTCTAGGCAAGCTCTACAATTACCAAGGATGTTGGTACTACCCCAACACTCTCCAAGGAGTTTTAAATTTTCAGAAAGGTTTCAAGCCTCAAGAAACCGATATAATCCTCGCTTCTTACCCTAAATCCGGCACCACTTGGCTCAAAGCTCTCACGGTTGCTCTCCTTGAGAGATCGAAGAACAGTTCTTCTTCTGATGTTCCTCATCCTCTTCAATCCGATAACCCTCATGGCTTAGTACCCTTCTTGGAGACCAATCTGTATCTCAATACCTCAACACCTGACCTAACCAAGTTCTCATCTCCAAGGCTGTTCTCGACGCACATGCCGTTACATACGCTTAAAGTACCCTTCAAGGACTCTCCATGCAAGATCGTGTACGTGTGTAGGAACGTGAAGGACGTGTTGGTATCGCAATGGTATTTCAGGTGCGCTTATCTTCAAAAAGAAGTAGACAAAAGCCTTCTCGAGACTTCGTTGGATTCATTATGCAGTGGAGTTGGCTATTTTGGACCCTTTTGGGAAAATGTATTGAGCTATTGGAGAGGTAGCTTGGAAGATACCGAGCATGTTCTCTTCATGAGGTATGAGGAAATGAAGTCAGAGCCTGCTGCTCAGGTTAAGAGGCTTGCAAAGTTTTTGGGTTGTCCATTCACTGAGGAAGAAGAAGAGGGAGGATCTGTGGACAAGATCTTGGAACTTTGTTCTCTACGTAGTTTGAGAGGTATGGAGATTAACAAGACAGGAAAAACCTCGAACAATGTGCATTACTCTAATTTTTTCCGCAAAGGAGAAGTGGGTGACTCCAAGAATCATTTGACTCCAGAGATGGAAAACAAAATCGACATGATTATCGAGGAAAAATACAAAGGCTCCGGTTTAAAATATTGAGTGATGTGTGCAGATTCGGTATTTCCTTTAATGGATATGTAATATTACTAAAAGGGAATACAATATGATTGATGTGTGATTGTGCTTTCCTTTAATGGACATGTACTAATAATAATAATAGAAATATGAATGTCAACTTGCCTTTTTCCAAATATATGTGAATTCAGATTTGATTTGTTTCTATTTTGATTTGATCCAAAAAAATCTAGATATTCGTACTTTCAGTAAATCAAATTCCAACATTTGAAAACAAAGAAAATTGTAAATGTTAAAAATATTAAACGATATCTGCTTCGTATTGATTTTGATTTTCTATTAACGGAAAATATGATGAAGCAACAAAACTCTAAACTCAATCGAGTATTCCTTTTTGGGATAGTGCAACTGGTTTAAGAATGTCTCATTGTCTCTTGCCCAATTCCCACTAACACGTACAGTCAGTGCCGGCTAAGTGGGGGGGACAATCGGTGCGACCGCCCCGGGTCCTAACCCGTGTCCCCCCGTATACCAATGATTAAGGGGCCCAATTTTTTTATAAATACATATTTTATACAGAAAAAAATAAAATTTTAATAACTAATTTTGAAAAGGGGCCTAATAATATTTCACAAGTATATAGTTTTATTTTCTATCACAAAATATTACTGATTAAATTGTAAAAAACAAAAAAAAATTAAATATTGAATAAACATAAATTTTAAAAGGTAAAAAAATTTTTTTTGCCCTAGGGCCCCCGACCAAGTTAAGCCGGCCCTGCGTACAGTTTCTTCAACCTTTTTGTCTTACTTTCTCGAACTCTATCGCAAACACATGATTCATGCGTCTCATCACTCTATCATTAACAGTTCATTTCAAGAATGTCCGATTCTCGTAAATTTCCACTATATACAGTATCTTCAAGCTTTTTATTTCTATGTTGAACTCTATCGCGAAAACATGCATGATTCATGCATATCATCACTCTATCAGTAGCAGCTCATTGTTACAGCAGGATCATTAATTTTTCTATTATTTTGTCTTTTAAAAATAATAAAAATAATATCTATATTCTTATATTAACATGTACATGTCAAATGTACAATCTAAAGAATATAATTATCATATATCATAATTAATGTCACAATGTACATGTCATAATATGTGATTCTGGGTTAGTGAAAAAAATAAAAATAAAAAGTGATTTTGGGTAGTAGGTGTTCTACTACTCAATTTGGACACTGGGCACATTATGCAAACATTTTTGTTCTATATAAAACATTTATTAATTATTTTGTGGGAAAATGGTTAGGTAATACGAGCCAAATACATCCACACGTAAATACACCTCAATAATTCTATCAACAACCACAAGTAGACATGATTAGCTGTTGCTTCACAAGAATCCAAAACCATAGCTGTGCGCTTTACAAGAATCCAAAACCCATACCAGTTTTAAACTAAATATTTATCTGAGTACTAAAGAAGAATACAACAGTCCATATATGAATGACCAAGACTAAGGTGACATCGTCTCTTTAGACCTTCTGACAAGATCTTAGGGGATGCTCTTTGAATTATCTGAGCAGTAGACAATCTCCACACTATAGCTTTCAGGGAACAATAACTAAAAAGAAACAAAGACCTTCTTGAGCAATATGGATAATCCGATAACAGTTGATCTTGAGCATCTATAGCAACAATGTTTACATTCTGTTGTTAAATTGTATACTTTGATGATTGATCTATTATGCTAAGAGATTAAGACTGTTAGCTAAAAATTATTTAATATTATATGGAGAGAGCTTTCAAAGTACACTTAACTTGCTCTGATGAGCAATGATACATACAAGAGGATATTTTGAGAGATCAAAAGAGCCTAATCATAAAGCCAATCCAAGCTGATGTTTTGTTCAGCGGCTTCAGTGCAAAGTCCTGGAACCACCTTTTTGACCTCTTCCCACATAGACAAAGCCTCCTCGCTGCAAATCACATGGCGTAGAGACTTGAGTGCATTTACAGAACCTGGTAGACTCGATACACCACATTCTCTCATGTCAATCTTTTCAAGTGTACTTAGCTTTCCAATCTCTTGAGGAAGAGAATCCATGCTGACACACTGAGAAATGTCAAGGTACTTTAGGCACGGAAGCTCACAGACTTCTTCAGGTAAGGCTTCCAGCTCCAGGCAAGCATATAGCCTTAGAAGTTCAAGGGACCGTAACTTACTCAGATTCTTGGGCAGTTCAAGAATGCGCGGACAGTTTGTTATGCTGACAGAGTTGAGAGTGCTCATCCCACAAATGGTCGATGGTAGTTTCACAAGATCATCACAATGATCGATTGTGAGATCAGACAAGCTTGGGAAGATATTCCTAGTAGCCGTCTGATTAAAGCTGTTGTTGATCTTACACAGGATCAGATGCATCTTCTGTAGGTTTCTCAACGGAACACTGCTGCTGCTGAATAGTTCAGGAACGTGAACCTTCTCGAGCCAGAGACTCCTCAGTTTGTCCAAATTGGTAAAGAGAGGGAAGCCATGTAGAAACGCAGGAGTATTAGAGTTATTGATTACCACAAGCGCCCTCAGCCTACTCATCTTACAAACAAACGGTGGGAATGTGTACTCATCTGAAGAGAAGTTCAGTATCAAAACTTCTGTCTTAGGGAGTTCCATATCAAACCAATCCATTTCATTCATTTCCTCTGACAAAGACCAGAAAAAATCAATCAAGCTTTTTAATGCAGTCACCAAACTAACTTTTCATTTTTAAGTTGAAAAGAGTTGTTACCTGTATGAATGGAGACTATTCGGGCATCAAATGGCTTATCATTATTCCCTTCCCATTCTCTGGGAAGCTTTGGCTCTCTTCTAGGCATCAATAGCCGCTCTCTCCTATTTACTTCCACCTTATTGCTCACATAAATGGCCACATCTCTCAGAACATCGTGCTGCTTTACATATATATCATAGTAGCCAGTGTACAAAGCGCCAAGCCTGCAAATGATATCATATGGTAAGACTCGGCACGAGTGAAAACTCCTAAGAAAAAAAAATACAATAGACAACATCATCAAAGAGTAGAGTTACCTAGGGTTTTTCACAAGAGTAAGGAGATTCTTGTCTGATAAGTCAACAAGAATTGAAAAAGCAGTTTCCTCGTCGATATAATGCAACTCAACCCACATGTTGGTGACAACTTCGAGAGGGATCTTCTTGTCTTCAGGGAAAGCACCCAGATCCAAGAAACACTTTCTAGCTCTCGGGTCTAGGGTTTCTAGACTTTCTTCGATATGAGCAAACACTCTACTCTCATGAGTTTCATCAACAGTTTCACCTCTTGATAACTTCTTCACTACACCTTCCCAGTATCTTTCAGGCTTGTCTTTTAACAAAGCACCAAGAACTTTCAGAGACAAAGGTAGACCTTTACACTCATCAACAACCTAACCAAAAGTACCAAAGTAGTTTCCTGAGTGTTCTGCAAGTAATCCTAAACCCTACTTAAACCCTAAAAGAAGCATTATTTACCTGTTTGACTAATTTTTCGCTGAACGGGGAAGGCATGGACTTGTCCCCGAAAGCAGAGATACAAAAGAGGGACATTGCCTCATCTTCCTTTAGTAACTCAACATTGTAGGTGGTTTTTGGATCCGCGAGCTTACACCGTGAGACCACAAGAGTTGTGCTTCCAGGAATCTTAAACATCAGCTTGTCCAAGGAATCTCTTGTCCAAACATCATCAAGGATCACTAGCTTCCTTCCCTGAACTCCTTCATCAAGAAACTCCTTTATAAGAAGCCTCAGATGATCAAGATTCGGAGACCGTGACACAGTCAAAAACAAAACCCTGTTCTCAAAGAGTCCTGCGCAAGAAACAAAGATTCAGAACATTCAAAAAAAAAAACAAAAAAAAACAAAAGACTTCTTGTACAAACCTCGAACATCATCGTCTCTAAAAATCTCTTGTGCAAGAGTGGTCTTCCCGGAACCTCCCATCCCTGAGATCCCAAACAGAGGAGCATCAGCAAACTTAGACATCATCTCCTTCATCTCCCTCTTCCCCAAGTCCAACCCTTCCCTCTGAATCGCCGGATCAACCTCCGTCTCCATCTCCACCGTAGCCTCCGCTCTCTTCATCGCCTCCGCTAAAGACAAAGAGTCGATCCTCTCAATAAGCCTATCGCATTTCCTCTCAACCCTTTCAATCCCCGCTTCGCAGATGACACGGCCATCATTCACGTCGGCGAGGATATTGGCGAGAACAGAAGTGCTAAGGAAACGAGTTATCTTCCTCTCGAGTTCCTTCATCTTGTTCGCGTGGTATATGTGTTTAGGGTTATAACGTTTGCATCTTAAAACTTTCTCGCTAAGCTTCCGTGCTTTCTCCAAGATCTCGAAGAATATACGAAGTTGAGTTTGGCGATGTTGGTTCAGCTCCACGCCACTGTATTGGATCTCTCTGATCGTTGGTTGGACGTCGCTGATCAACGTGATGAGTCGTTCCGCGATTCCTTTGCAGCCGTACACTGTGCTAGCTACCAGAACGAGCAGCTTCAGGAGCTCCGGGGCTATGTCGCCTGCTAAAATATCAGTGAACGACATTGAAACAGATCTAGTTACTAGTGAGTATGAGAAATGTGAGGGAAGCATAAGTGTTGTTGTAGCGCTTTTAACATGAGTCATGAGACAGGAACACGAAGTTTCGTAGAAAGTTACCCTTGTTGTTCCTTTTTTTTTCATAAAAGAAAAAGTTACTCTTTTGTCGGACGTTGTTTAGGCTCACGTTCTATTGTAGGTCCCGGCCACCTTGGCTTATTCACAAAGAAGTCTCTAAATATATGATTTTTTTTTGTGAAAGTAGAATATTGCCAATTTGAATATATTATCTGCAAACCATAAAGAAAGATTCGAATGAATATTCCTTAAGTAACGATGAGAGATTAAGCTTCTCTTTTGAACGATGGATCTATCTATACTATTAAAGCAATGATTCTGTTATAAAAAAAAAAGTTATATTCAATTAATTAGGTATTAATCAATTTGGGTTTGATATTACTTTTCGGATTGGATTCGATTCGGTTCTTAAGATCAGAATATTTTGCGCAGCTCTATCATTTATGATAATCTTTTTATAAAAGCAAAATTTGACCAATGCTAGACATGTTAGATGGTGTATTACTCCATTTTAGTTTTTGCTTTTAAAAATAAACTAAAACAAATGTGAGACATGCCAATGATTATTATTTAAATAAAATTATGTAAAACTTAAATTATATAACTACATATAGAAATTACAGTTTATAATAAATCAAGTTTTGTAAACAAAATAATATCGCGCTTTTAAAGCGCGGGGTAAAATCTAGTTTTATCTTATATTAAAAAACTTTAACTTGTTTTTTCGGATATTCGGGTATCCGTTCGGTTCTCGGTTCGTTCCGATTCGGTTTATCGGGTATAAAAATATAGGAACCATTCGAATATTTAATAATTTCGGTCCGGTTTCGGTTTCGGTTTCGGGTATTTCGGTTTTTCGTTTCTGGTTTTTTTTGCCCGGGCTAGTATCAATGGCTCCCCACTTTTAGCTATATGATATAGTATTAAAAAGGCAATGATCCACCGACCAAGACACGCATATACAAATTGTGATCTTTGCATTTCAGATTCTTGTAACCGCAAGCAATACCCACAACAAAAGAAAATGAATGAGAAGGAGCTCCCCAAACACATGAGAGAAGCCTACTTAAGCGAAGAAACTAAGACTTTAATCTCTTCACTTCCTTCGACCAAAGATTTTCTAGGGAAGCTCTACAACTACAAAGGATGCTGGTACTACCCCAACACTCTCCAAGGCGTCCTGAATTTCCAGAAAGGTTTCAAGCCTCAAGAAACCGATATAATCCTCGCTTCTTACCCCAAATCCGGCACCACTTGGCTCAAAGCTCTCACCGTTGCTCTCCTTGAAAGATCGAAGAACAGTGCTTCTGATGTTCCTCATCCTCTGCAATCCGATAATCCTCATGGCATAGTACCATTCTTGGAGACCACTCTGTATCTCAGAAGCTCAACACCTGACCTGACCAAGTTCTCATCTCCGAGGCTGTTCTCTACTCACATGCCTTTCCATATTCTTCAAGCACCCTTTAAAGATTCTCCTTGCAAGATCGTGTACGTGTGCAGGGACGTGAAGGACGTGTTGGTATCGCAATGGTATTTCAGGTGTGCATATCTCCAAATAGAAGTAGACAAAAGCCTTCTTGAGTCTTCGTTTGAGTCATTATGCAGTGGAGTTGGATATTTTGGACCTGTTTGGGAACATGTATTGAGCTATTGGAGAGGTAGCTTGGAAGATCCAGAGCATGTTCTCTTCATGAGGTACGAGGAAATGAAGTCAGAGCCCGCTGCTCAGGTTAAGAGACTTGCAGAGTTTTTAGGTTGTCCATTTACTGAGGAAGAAGAAGAGGGAGGATCTGTTGAAAAGATCTTGGAACTTTGTTCTCTACGTAGTTTGAGAGGTATGGAGATCAACAAGACGGGAATAAGTTTGAACACTAATATGCCCTACTCTATTTTTTTCCGCAGAGGAGAAGTGGGTGACTCCAAGAATCATCTGACTCCTGACATGGCAAACAAAATCGACATGATCATCGAGGAAAAGTATAAAGGATCTGGTTTGAAGTTCTGAGTGATGTGTGATCAGTGCTTTCATGTAATAATGACAATAAAAGAATTCTTAAAAGTGATCTAAACTCAATGGAGTATTCATCTTTCCGAGATAAAATAATGCAACTGTCTCGTTCACTTTTAAGAATGGCCGATTATCTTGTCAAATTTCCACTAAACGTACGGTGTCTTTAACCTTTTTTAATTTCTTTCTTGAACTCTATCGCAAAAACATGATTCATGCATATCATCACTCTATCAGTAACAGCTCACCTTGTTGCTTTTTTATTAAACTTATCGTAACGTTATTTTAACTTTAATCTATTATATATATGTAAAAGAAAAAGATCTGTTACCAAAACAAAAAAAAAAATCAGAATTTGGTTTGAACTAGCTGGCGCTTTGGTGACAATTTGATTGATCCTACGTAGCCAAGAGAAGCAAAGCCGTCGATGAAGTAGGATCGATTTCAAGTCTTCACGACACTAATAATATCGTACGGTCCTTATTGGCTGGAGTATATATTAATAGAATAAAACACATTGGCAGATAACCCATTTATTGATTGACATTTCGGGATCGTAGAGAGTCAAGTCGGAAAGAGAATTCCTACGTCGAACTCTTAGGATAGGCTGACTTCATATATATTCGTTCTTTAATTGCGCTAATACCCTAAATACTGTATATTTTAAGTTAAGAGCACATGTAACATTTGGTGTATCTTTTAGAAATTATAGTCGCCGATCCCTCAAATTCTACGTTAAAACAAAAATATTGTGATGTTACCGTTCGCGTGTAACGCGAAGTACTAGTGTACAACTTACGTTATTAGTGAGGGTGAAGAGGCAAAAACAAAAGTTGAGTCACTTGACACACTATGAATTTGGTAAATCCTCATCTTTGGTAGTAGGTGATGTAAAACTCAATTCGGACACCCCCATTAAATAGTAAGACTATCTTCTCCCTTGTCATTAAAATCATTGTACTGCTTCGACTCTTTAAAGTTGTTACCGCACATAAGAACACCCGTAACCACGGGTCCTTAGGGGTAATCATTAAGGAAATATTAATTTTATAATAAGTAAGTCCCATGAATAGTTAAGGATTCTATCCTTAAAATTCTTATTTAAGGATTGATCCTTATACTATTTACGGGCTCTACTTTCCACGTAGCGGCTCGTGAATTGTCAATTTTTTTTTAGAAAAAAAAATCTGAGATATCTTTATATAATCCGAAATGTCCCTTTTTATTTTTTCCTAAGGATTTTTCCTAAGAACCATTGTTGCGGGTGCTCTAAGTAACACGCCATTCAGGTCCAAAGAACTTGAAGAAAGGTAAGAAACGGAGTCTAGTGGCTTCATCATCCCACTCAACCCTTTCAAACCAGTCTTCCTCTTTGTATTTAATAACAAACTCCTCAACCCTGATTTTATACTGATGGTTTATAATAAATTTTACATAAATTATTTGTATATATTTTTAAAATAAAATTATTAGATTAAATTATGATGTACACTTTAGAATAAGTCTGCAATGCAAATTATTTATAGAAGTCTACAATGTGTATACTTCTTTCTATTAAATGTAGATTTCCAAATGATAAAATTGTACACAATTTTATGTTTTTTTTTGTTATAAAAGGTAAATAGTAATTTTGTACCCTTTAACTTATATTTGCAACTGACTGAATATGAAGTCTAGTTTTGGATGTCAAATCAATTTTTAGTTTATTTTTGGCAGATCTCCATAAATTAATTGAAAAATTCATTTAATATTTCAAATTACTATTGTAATTTTTTATTGTTTTAAATAATTTGTTATTACTAAGTCCAATGATTTGATGACATAAAAAAAAAATGTCTAATGATTTAAGTTTATTATTAATCTGTTTATTTGAATGGAATCAAATCATTTCTTGGTATCTGGATGGATCTAAATTCATATAATAAAATTTAAATATGATTTAAATCTGGATGCTATCAATGCCGATCCTACAATGGCTCCGTGCTTTTAGCTAATTAAAACGTTTACAAAATAAAATAACAATTACCAAAGCATCCAACTAGTTGTGATCTATATATGCCTTTGGAGATAATCATATTCTTGTAACCGCAAGCAAAACTCACAAAAAGAAAAAGAAAATGAGTGAGAAGGAGCTCCCCGAAAACGTGAGAGAAGACTACTTAAGTGAAGAAACCAAGACATTAATCTCTTCACTTCCTTCTACCAAAGATTTTCTAGGGAAGCTCTACAACTACCAAGGATGTTGGTACTACCCCAACACTCTCCAAGGAGTTTTAAATTTTCAAAAAGGTTTCAAGCCTCAAGAAACGGATATAATCCTCGCTTCTTACCCTAAATCCGGCACCACTTGGCTCAAAGCTCTCACGGTTGCTCTCCTTGAAAGATCGAAGAACAGTTCTTCTGATGATGCTCTTCATCCTTTGCAATCAGATAATCCTCATGGCTTAGTACCCTTCTTGGAGACCAAACTCTATCTCAATACCTCAACACCTGACCTGACCAAGTTCTCATCTCCGAGGCTGTTCTCGACTCACATGCCGCTTCATGCGCTTCAAGTACCCATCAAGGACTCTCCATGCAAGATCGTGTACGTGTGCAGGAACATGAAGGACGTGTTGGTATCGCAATGGTATTTCAGGTGCGCTTATCTTCAAAAAGAAGTAGACAAAAGCATTCTAGAGTCTTCGTTTGAGTCGTTATGCAGTGGGGTTGGCTATTTTGGACCCTTTTGGGAACATGTACTAAGCTATTGGAAAGATCCAGAGCATGTTCTCTTCATGAGGTATGAGGAAATGAAGTCAGAGCCTGCTGCTCAGGTTAAGAGGCTTGCAGAGTTTTTAGGTTGTCCATTCACTGAGGAAGAAGAAGAGGGAGGATCTGTGGACAAGATCTTGGAACTTTGTTCTCTTCGTAGTCTGAGCAGCATGGAGATCAACAAGACAGGGAAAAGTTCGAACAATATGCATAACTCTATTTTTTTCCGCAAAGGAGAAGTGGGTGACTCCAAGAATCATCTAACTCCTGAGATGGAAAACAAAATCGACATGATCATCAAGGAAAAATACAACGGCTCCGGTTTAATATTCTGAGTATGGGTGATTTCATCTGTACTAATAATAATAAAAGAATTCATTACTGATATGTGATTTGTGTTTGTTTTGTTTTGTTTTTTTCAATTTTCGGTAATAATAATAAAAAGTCATATTTTGCTTCCCTTCTGATAATCAACGGAGGAACCCATCTTTCAGTGACTCATAGGTCGTTCTTCAGTTCAGTCCTTTAATTTTTGTTAATTTATTATAATCATACAATAATTCAAGTCATTCTTTCCTTTATTGGTAACTAATACAAGTCATGATTCTCTCGAAAAAAGTTATGGATAATCATGCATGCACTGAATATTACGTAGAACGAAACGAAATGTGCTAAAGGCAAAAATAATATTTGGATCCTTTTATAGTAAAAGTATGACAAAGTATACGCATATTGTAGTCTCTGTTAACCGTAGCTCAGTATTATAAATATACTGCAAAAATAAACTTAAAATGTTAGTGTCTAAAAAAAATATAAATATATAAATAAATAAAAACTATTTATTCCTCAAAATCTGAAAATCTTGAATGATAACCTAAAAATGTTTGTTGACTTCTTTGGTTGTAGAGAAGCAGCTACTAGTGCGAAAGAGGAAGATATAGTCTCATGTTTCTTGTGCCTTACGCAAGTTCGTGAAGCTAAACCACAACAGCTAGACCCTTATATTGTTGTGGCAACTCCTCCATTAAGCTCATGTCTAGAGACATTTTAGACATGTCAAGATACCGCAAGGAGACCAACTCTGATATTTGTTCAGGCAGTTTCCGGAGACTTGAGTTCCCTGAAAGATCCAAGACAACGAGCATAGGGATACACTGGAAGAAATCAGATGAGATATGTATCAGTGAAGCGTTTTTCTGAAGGAAGAGAGTTGTAAGTTTTGAGCACTCAGTGCTGCCAGAGACAATCTCAATCTCATTTTCCATGAGAGACATCCTTGTCACGCCACTCCAGTTCTTGATTCTTGGTATCTCACATAACCCACTTCTTGCTTGCACAATACATTGTTCTTTATCCTTCCCAAGATCAGATGCTATCCATAGAGCCATCTCCCGAACCACGTCATGCATCTTCACTTGTTCTTTATTGACTGCTTCCTCCAACAACAAACATGCACGGACAAGTATACTAATGATCTCATACCCTTGGCTTAATACTCTTTCTCTAGTTTGATTCTCATCTAAGAACCCCTCACACATCCAGTAGTCTATCAACCTCTCTTTCTCTCTACGGTAATCTTCAGGAAACAAAGAGCAATATAAAAAGCAGCAAGCAGCAACACAAACTTTCTCCCATATATCATCAAGCAGCAACACAAACTTTCTCCTCTTGAGGACTCTGTGTATCTCAAGGGCTCTCTGGTTTTCATTTTTTTGGTCCCACTCCTCTCCCCCAAGGCCTAGCTTTTTGGCTATGTCTCCTTGTATCCTATGGATCTCTGGAGTTTTAGACACCACCACCCATATCACAACCTCGAAGAATCCGCCGCCACGACATGTTTCAGAAAACTTGTTGTTGAGTTGTGTGAGAAGAGTGGTTTTGCCTACACCACCCATGCCATACATACCCAAAATCTCTACTCCTTCTTCCATGAGATGAGTCCATACCTTTTCGAGCATTGTTTCTTGACCAACAATAGTGGCTTGAACAGGCATCTCGTCCACCTTAGCGACCGGAATTTCCTCAGTCACATCAGTAAATACTCCTTGAGAACTGAGTCTTTCAACCTCATTCAGCATCATAACAATCCTTTTCCCATAAAGATAGCTCAATCTCACATTCTTAGAGCAGAACCCACAGAGACACAGCCTTTGAAGCTCAATGTTATAAGTCCTAAGAAGATCATTGAATTTGTTCTCCGTGTTTAGGACATTAGTAAGCCATACCTGGACTAGAGAAAGCCTTTCACGACGCCCTGTAAACTCTTCTCTGCAAACCCTTCTTTGCACATCATCTCGCTTTGCCTTGAGCACTTCTATGTCTCTCTGCAGAGCAGCTAGATTCTCTGAAAGGCTGTATATATAACTCCCATGAGTGCCAAGACATTGAGAGACTTGATTCACTACTTGGTCACATGGCATGGAGATCGAGAATAAACCTCCCATTGCAGCAAGAGAGATTCAGAAGAAGAAAGATCAGAAGCTGAGCCTTTAGTGAGTGACAATTATTAACAAGAATGAGTAGATAAGAACACACAGCCGTATACTAAAGTTTTCAACCACACATAGTTGGAAAATAATGCAAAGGTGTCACTGTATTGCATTGTGGAAAAACATATAGACTTTTCTATGATAGGTTTGTGAGACCAAGTCACGGTCATAAATTTGGAATTATAAATTGGAATAACTCAAAATCTTTGAAAAGTCTTTAAACAATAACTTGTAAAGTTAGCTTACGGCTTTATCATGCTCTATATAAGCAAATAACATTTTCTTGATTTATAATTCATCACCTTAAAGATGTATGTTACAAGGCATCTCTCGGAAGACCAGAGAAACTCGTCGTACTTTACACAATCGTTGCCAGAAGGTCCAAACTCAGGCGTACTTGTGATTCAAGATGAAGAGTCAAAGCCTACTTGTTGCTTCGGATCTTGCTACGCTGGTGAACTCAAAGGCTTACCGTTTCCACAGAACGCAAAGCTGACTGTGACTTTCAAAACCCAAAATGGAAGTATACTTGACCCGGTTCTGTTCATTCCGGTTCCTGGACAGGCTCTATTTGTGAACCGTTATTATGTCGTTAAACAAAGCGGGAAGCACTCAGGGTATGTATATATGACCAAATAATCTTTGAATTATTTTTTATGTGTGTTTTGGTTCATGAACATAGATTCAAGTGTCCGATCCCTGGCAGTTTTTTCGGATTCCCTTTCCCTAATCAAGTTATTGAGGGCGGGGGATATCAGCCTGAACTGTTCGGTGTCATGTTTGATATCTATCGATTTATCCCTCTCTTTGATGTTATTTCTTTTAATTTCATTTCTCGCAACTTTAATTTCGAGGCAGATTTGGTGGCAAAATCTGATCTCACGTTGGATGTAATGAACTCCAACTTAGGAGACTAAACTCAAAGTTTGAATGAAATGTTTGTTTGCCCAAAAAAAAAACATAGATTCAAGCATTGTTTGGTTTGGTTTGGTTTGGTTTGCTGTTTTCTAAATAACGTTTTTTTACTTTTAATATATCGAAGCTGAAAATCTAACTTGCGCAACAAGACTCCTGAAACCCTAATTTTGCTGACTTTGATGTAGTTTTCCCGTTGGTTTCTTAACAAATTATATATAAATGTTTATTTTATTATTAGCAACGTTTTGCGGTTTCACTTCAGTCCACATATTTTTTAACATATCGAAGCTGAAAGACCTAACTTGCGAAACAAGATTCCTGAAGCCCTAATCTTTTTTTCCGTTGCAGAGGAGCCTCGGCAAGTGCAAAAGAAGAAGACAGAGTCCCCTGCTGCTTTTGCTTTAGCAAAGTTCCTGAAGCTAGGCCACAAGAAGTAGATCCTTATGACATATACCAACAATTCGAGATCCGTCAACGCCGATCATCATCTGGTTATTACACAGCCACATCCGTTGCTCCCAATGGGATACCACCTGCGTTCCTTAAGAGAAAGTATTGGTCCGTTGGGTACTCGAACTCTCAAGACTTTGGTTTGATAGATGATGCAAAGGGAATCAACGCTAAGCTTCGCTCTGAGCTTCCCAAAGATGTGAATACAAGCGTTGTGGTAGGCAAATGGTATGTCCCTTTCATATTCGTGAGAGACGGAGAGGCAAAAGATCAGATTCAAAACTCGACTTATTACAGTATGAGTCTTAAACAAAGATGGGAAGAGGTTTACTCATGCGACAACAACGAAGAAGAAAGTGAGGTCGTGGTTGATGTCGAAGTGGAAACAGAAGTGGTGAAGCTTGGGGGAGAAGTAACCAAACTGAGGGCGACAAGAACTGATGTTGTTTGGTATGGTGTCTTAAGGGATGAGAGAAAAGACAAGAAGATAGGTCTTGGGTTAGTGGTCGTGGAGAGGATTAAGTGGGAAGAGGAGAGGTTTGGTTGGTTGAATAAAGGCGATGAAGTAAGTTCCAGCGTTAAGAGAACAGAGAGATTTGAAGGCGGTTCATCACACTGGAAGAGTTATAAATGCTACGTACTGGTAGAGAGCTTTGAGCTAAAGAGAAGGGATGGGAGTTTGGTGTTGACATATGAGTTTAGACATGTTGATAAGTTGAAGAGCAAGTGGGTTTGAGTTTATTCAGCTTCGTTGTGTGTCATGTGTATTTTCATTTAATAAAAGCTTCATGCATGTTTACATTCGTGTAAAATATGTATATATGAATAATCTAGAACTGGTTTCAATTATGATTCTCATGATAGGTTTGTCAAACCAAGTTGCGTTACTCATCATGGAATTATGATTCGTTCTCTAGGATCCTCGGAATTAATAAAATCCAGTAACTGTGTGAACATAAATATATGTTTAGAAGTGTTTATAGAAATTAATTTACATGAGGCACGAGGAAATGAAATCAGAGCCCCCCAGCTCAGGTTAAGAGACTTGCTGAGTTCTTAGGTTGTCCATTCACTGTGGAAGAAGAAAGGGAAGGATCTGTGGACAAGATCTTGGAACATTGTTCTCTGCATAGTCTGAGAAGTATGGAGATCAACAAGTTAGGAAAAATTTAAAGAGTAGTATGCATAACTTTATTTATTTCCACAAAGGAAAAAAATTAAAGAGTAGTATCCATAACTATTACTACAACAATGGTTTAAAATATAAAATGATATTTATTTATTTCTAATGTAGCTTTAAAATCTACTCTATTAAAATATAGTCATTATTTTTATCTACTTATACAAGTTATCATTTAAATTTGGACTTTTTCTAGAGTGTTACAAATAGTACAAGTCATATAGTTAACTGAACCGCATTACTTAAATTAAACCGATGGTTATTTATGGGATATAGTCTTGGGCTTTTTTTTTTTAAACAAATTATATGGTTTTGTTTTTTGGCTTAGTATTAAGAAAAAACTCCAAAAAACATTGAATAAACTTTTCACCTTAATGAATAAAAAAATCAATTATTATTTTCAAGCCCAAAAGGTATTTAATATTTTTAAACAAAACAAAATTGTCTATTATTAATCATTTATTTAAATCATGTACTTTAAAACATGTTAATGTATTTTTTATTTTAAATAACAATCATTTTGTTTTGATAAATTTCAATGGTAACTTTTAAATAATTTATTGTTTTATTTCTCTTATATAATTTACTGATTTAAAAAAATGAATGCAAAACCAAAAATCAAATCTAAAAACTAAAATCTAAAACCAAAAACTGAAAAACAGGTTATATTTTTTTTGCTTTTATTTATTTATAAAATAAACTATTGCAAATTTATTTAAAAAATTTTTGTCATCTTTTCAGTTTTAGATTAGATGTTTGATTATTTTGGATTTGTTTGTTACTAATATCAGTTCAAACTAATTCAGCGGGTCTAAAAATTAAAAACTCAAACCAAAAGCTGAAAATCAAAAATAAAAACTTAAAAAATAAAAACCAAAATCTAAAACAAAATCTAAAAATAAAAACTGAAACTGAAACTAAAAACTAATGAATAACAATTATCACCACAAATTTTGGTGAACTGATTTTATCCCAAAACATTCTTTAAATTAAGATAAAACCCAATTACATAAACTTTTAATCATGAAAAATTTCCGCGCTTGAAAAGCGCGGGTCAAAATCTAGTTGATATTAAACATGATTAACAGTTTTAAAGATGTAAATTAAAATTAAAGAAAAAACAGCTCTTATAGTTTAACCAAACATGATTTCTGACAAATGTTAAGTCAAACCTCAGACTGGGTCAAAGAATTGATTAAGCTTATAAAAATAGCTTAGCTAACTTTATTGCACGTTCTTGTGATCCTTTATATATATAAACGATGACAAGGTAGATCGTGAGTAACAAAGAATCATGGAGAGATGTATGTCACTAAGCTATCATGCATTCATGATTCATGATAGGTTTGTGAGACCTAGTCAAGGTCATAACTATGGCATTATAAATTGGACCATCAAAGACCTAGTCAAGGTCATAACTATGGCATTATAAATTGGACCATCAAACTCATAATCTCTGAAAAGTCTTTAAACATCAGCTTGTAAAAATAGCTTACGGCTTTATGCTCTATATAAACAAATCACATTTTCTTGATTTCTAATTCATCACCTTAAAGATGTATGTTACAAGGCATCTCTCGGAATACCAGAAAAACTCTTCAAATTTGTCACAATTGTTGCCGGAAGGTCCAAACTCAGGTGTACTTGTGATTCAAGATGAAGAGTCAAAGCCGACTTGTTGCTTCGGATCTTGCTACGATGGTGAGCTCAAAGGCTTACCGTTCCCACAGAACGCAAAGCTGACTGTGACTTACAGAACCGGAGGTGGTAATAACAGGCGCAGTTACCATGACCCTGTTCTGTTCATTCCGGTTCCTGGACAGCCTTTATCTTTGAACCGTTATTATGTCATTAAACGACGTGGGAAACACTCAGGGTATGTATGAAATAATCTTTATGTTTGATGAAAATAGATTTTACCATTGTTTGGTTCAGTTTGTTGTAGTTTTCCATTGGTTTCTTCACAAATTATATTTTTTTTTAATACTGGTTAATTATGCATTACAGACTAGAAATATTACATAAGAGATATTGCAACTGACATCTGCTGCATCAAATTATATTTTAATATGAAAATTTTATTTTATTTCTAGTAACGTTTTGAGGTTTCAATCAATATATTTTTAATTTATTTTTGAAACACAATCAATATATTTTTAATATATTGAATCCTAGAGACCTAATTTGGGCAACAAAATTTATAAAACCCTAACTTTTTTTATTGCAGAGAAGCTACGGCAAGTGCAAAAGAAGAAGACAGAGTTCCCTGCTGCTTTTGCTTTAGCTACGTTCCTGAAGCTAAACCGCAAGAAGCAGATCCTTATGACATATACCAACAATTCGAGATCCGTCAACGCCGATCATCGTCTGGTTATTACACAGCCACTTCTGTTGCTCCTAATGGGATACCACCATTGTTCCTGAAGAGAAAGTATTGGACCGTTGGGTACTCCAACTCTCACGACTTTGGTTTGACAGATGATGCAAAGGGAATCAACGCTGAGCTTCGTTCCGAGCTTCCCAAAGATGTGGATGCAAGCGTTGTGGTAGGAAAATGGTATGTCCCTTTCATATTTGTGAAAGAAAGAGACGCAAAAGATCAGATGAAAAACTCGACTTATTACAGTATGACTCTTAAACAAAGATGGGAAGAGGTTTTCTCATGCGACAACGACGAAGCAAGTGAGGTTGTGGTTGATGTTGATGTAGATACAGAAGTGGTGAAGCTTGGCGGAGAAGTAACCAATCTGAGAGAGACAAGAACTGATGGAGCTGTTTGGTTTACTGAGGGACAAGACAAGAAGATAGGTCTTGGGTCAGTGGTCGTGGAGAGGATTAAGTGGGAAGAGGAGAGTTTTGGTTGGTTAAATAAAGGCGATGAAGTAAGGTCTAGCATTAAGAGAACAGAGAGATTCGAAGAAGGTTCATCAAAATGGAAGAGTTATAAATGCTATGTATTGGTAGAGAGCTTTGAATTAAAGAGAACTGATGGGAGTTTGGTGTTGACATATGAGTTTAGACATGTTGATAAGTTGAAAAGCAAGTGGGTTTGAATTTATTCAGCTTCTTTGTGTGTTGTCATTTATGGTGTGTTTCATTTAATAAAAGTTTCATGCAACTTCATATGTAAAACTTAAAAATTCTTATACATTCATGTTGGTAATAAATGAATAGAAATGTACTTGGAGGATCAGTGTTCTAAAAATCGGTCTACGCGTAATTGACAAATTGAATATGAGCGAAACAATTTTTTTAATTGTTTTTTTAAACTGATTTAAGTGTTAAAAAAATCTGACTAGACATTCAACTAACCAATAATCCTCTACAAAATACTTAACCACCGTCTAGCGATTTTTTAATCAGAGGATTATTATTTGTTGACATGAAAATCATTATTTAGACGTCTCACGTGTTTATTCAAACGTCTGATCCCTAGTGATTCTATCGGATTCTCTGTCTCTGATCAAGCTATTGAACATGGGAGAATGTCATTCTGAACTGTTCGGTATCATGTTTGATATCTATCATTTTTGTATTTCTTTGATTGTATTTCTTTTCATTTCATCTCCCGTAACTTCAATTCTGAGGCTGATTGTGTGACTAAATCAGTGTTCGCTTCGTCTGTAATCAACCCCCCCCCCTGAGGGGTAGAACCTTTTTCGGTTTAATGCAATCTTGTTTGATAAAAAAAAAAAAGACGTCTCACGTATTATACGCTCATTGGATTGACATAATAAGGGAATTTTCAAAACCTGCTGCGTAGCCTGCATGCATCGTCCCGGCCCATAGGAGCTGAGTTATAAACCTCGAATATTCTACGAGAGCCATTAGTTTCTCTAGTTACTTGTTAATCCTACCATAAACTGCTGGCCAAAACAGTAACAAAATGGTAAATAGTCTAAAAAGTAAAGGACAATCTCTAGTAACAACAATAAATACTGAATCTGATCTGATATCTTAGAGCATGAGCATTGAAGGATCAGAAGAAAAGTTCACACGTTTCTAAAAGAAAATATTAAAATAATTTGATTTTATTGAATCCGCCTCGCGTGAGTTTGCTGCGATGATACCAGGTCGTCATTGTTTTGTGGGTTCCTCGCCACATAGCAGATCACGATTGGATCATTATTAATTAAAAAAAAAAATCAATCAAAAAAATAAATTAAATAATTAAAACTGGAGTATAGGGAATCTGAATTTTGCGGTTCACCAATGCTCATGCTTTTAGACCACCTCCATTGGGGGTTCTTCCTTTTGGAGTTCCTAAAATATATATTCTGTGTATATATGTATGTATATATTATATAGGTATAAGTATATATGGGTCCACAATTTTTATGGAACCCCATAGACAAAGGTTCTTAAAATGGGATTTTGGAACCTTTGCCTATAGGATTCCACAAAATTTATAGACCCCATAGATACTTATACTTCTATAATATATACATGCATATATACATACATAAAACATATTTTAGAAACTCTAAGGGGAGGAATCCCCAATGGAGATGCTCTTAGAGGTTCAATGGAAAGTTCTTAGATCGAGGTTCTTAACGGATTATAATAACGGCTTTAAGGAAAGAAGCAACGATTATATGGGTTTCTTGTGTCTGAAAACCTCTTTGGAAGTTGAGGATTGATTGGAGAATGTGTTCATGTAATGTGTATCAGGTCGAGCATTTCTGACGCAAAGGCTGGAATCGCATTGAGTGACAACTTCGTGAAACTGGTGTCGTGGTATGACAACGAATGGGGTTACAGTACCCGTGTGGTCGACTTGATCATTCACATGTCCAAAGCCTAAACCGGGCTTCGTAGCCTGGTGGTAAAGGAACCTCGGCTGAGGTGCCCGCCATCCGACTTCGAACCCCGGCCACCACATAATTTACCTGCGGAGTTGGTGTGGCGCTCCAGACCACTTAGCATAACCAGGGGCCCTTAAGTGGACGCTTAAAAATCCTGTCATGGCATGGGCTTAGGCCCGGTGGGCTAGTCGATCACGCTTAGTGGTCGGATACTGGGTTATAAAAAAAAAAGCCTAAAGCGCCGAAGAGAAACAAGATCTCGATTCTCGAATATGATGTAATGGTGTCTTAATTTTTCAGCTTTTTCATATAAAATTTTCTTGAGATCTAAAAAAGCTCATCTCTTTTTGGTTTTTTGAGATTCTCCTTCACGTGACGTGATAGGAACTTTGTAAACCTTGTTAAACCTTGTTATTTGTTTACTGAAAGCCCTTTGATACAAGGTAACTTTTATTACAACGCATTCAAATTAAGTACAAACCTGCTTTATTTAGTAATAGGGGATAGTGCCGGTTTTAGATTTGATCATAAGCCACACACACATATAACTCTAGAACTTCAAACCCGAACCTTCAAGTTTCTCCTCGATGATCATGTCGAGTTTTGTCTCCATTTCAGGAGTCAGATAGTTCTTCGAGTCACCAACTTCACCTCTACGGTAAAAACTCTTCAAATCCACTCCTGTCCACGTTCTCCCTGTTTTGTTGACTTCTAATCCGCTTAGACTACGCAGCGAGCAAAGCTCCAAGATCTTCTTAACCATTCCACTTTGTTCTTCCTCCTCAGTAAAAGGACATTCCAAGAACTCAGCAAGTCTCTTGATCTGGCCATAAGGTTCTTCTTTCAACTCCTCGTACCTCATGAAAAGCACGTGCTTAGGATCTTCCAAGCTTCCTCTCCAATAACTCAACAATTGGTCCCAGAAGGGACCAAAGAAGGTAACTCCGGAACAAAAAGACTCGAACAAATCCTCGAGTGTGCATCTCTCCACATCATTCTTTTCTCCACCCCATGCTACTCCCTTGTGTGACTTGTTGAAATGCCAAAGCGACACCAACACGTCTTTCACGTTCCTGCTCACGTACACGATCTTGCATGGAGACTCCTTCATGGGTACTTGAAGCGCATCAAACGACATGTGAGTTGAGAACACTCTTGGAGAGGATGATGATGCTAAGAACTTGGTGAAATCCGGTGTTGTGGTTTTGAGATACAGATCGAACTCGAGGAACGGTACAAGTTCATGAGGGTTGTGAGATAGAAGAGGATGATCATCGTCATCATCCAAAAGATGTTTAGATCTTTGAGTGATTGTGAATGTGAGTGCCTTGAGCCAAGTCGTGCCGGCTTTAAGGAAAGAAGCAACGATTATATCGGTTTCTTGTGTCTGAAAACTTCTCTGGAAGTTGAGGATTGATTGGAGAATGTGTTTGTCGTACCAACATCCTTGGTACTTGAACATCTTGATCCCATAGCAATCTGTGTCTGAAGGAAGTGATGAGATCAAACTTTTGGTTTCTTCTTCCTCACTCAACTTCCTTGGAATCTCTTTCTCATCCATTTTTTTTTTGCCTCGAATTGTTTTAGTTAATGTAATCACAAGCTCACACTACTTATAGCCGTGCATGTGGCTTGAAAGCTCATGTCATAACGTTAATTTAATAAACGTGGTAGTTGTCAATAGTGTTTTTAAACCCGTGATTATATAGTTGCAATGAAGTCAATTCAACTTGTAGTTGAATCTAAGCATCAAAACAAAAGTTGTAATTTGGCAATACACTAGTATTACAGAATGTATTAAAACTGTTTTTGTATAACGACAAAGTGATCTTGATGAGATCGTGAGAGATCTGTAATAAAGGCTTCTTGTTGTCACAATGTAAGAACAAGAATCATCCTACTATTGAGGGTAAGAGACATATTATGATTTCTAGCAATTTGAAACTGACAAACATAACAAATATTTCAACATGATCAAAGATTAGATAAAATGTTTCTGAACTTCTTCTTCATTATCAAACATAAAATAAATGGGTTACTACTCAGTGTAGCCGTTCTAGATCAGTCTCCTTTACATGAATCTCTATACAGTTTAATGCGAAACTAGAACTGACTATCCACTAACAATCAACATCAAACCATGAACTCAGTCATCACCACACAATGTAACTTGCATTCAATTTACACATACTTACATTCATCTAACAGGTTCAATCCATTCATCTAATAATTATTTTTAGCAACCTAGCTTGTAAATATTTATGGTATTGAAGAGTCTCCTTCACATGACGTGGTGAGAGGTTTTATAGACCTTGTTTTGTGTTTATTTCTTTACTGAAAAGCCCCTTTTATGTGATACAATATTGAGTTGCAAACCTTTTACATCATATAAACTTTTATTACAATGCTTTCAAGAAAGCACAAACTGGCTTTATTTTAATCTTAGGGGAGGGTGCCGGTTTAGTATTATTCATCACAAGCCACACACATATATAACTCTAGAACTTCAGACCCGAACCTTCAAGTTTCTCCTCGATGATCATGTCGAGTTTAGTCTCCATTTCAGGAGTCAGATAATTCTTCGAGTCACCAACTTCACCTCTACGGTAAAAACTCTTCAAATCCACTCCTGTCCACGTTCTCCCTGTTTTGTTGACTTCTAATCCGCTTAGACTACGCAGCGAGCAAAGCTCCAAGATCTTCTTAACCATTCCACTTTGTTCTTCCTCCTCAGTAAAAGGACATTCCAAGAACTCTGCAAGTCTCTTGATCTGGCCATAAGGTTCTTCTTTCAACTCCTCGTACCTCATAAAAAGCACGTGCTTCGGATCTTCCAAGCTTCCTCTCCAATAACTCAAGACTTGGTCCCAGAAGGGACCAAAGAAGGTAACTCCGGTACAGAAAGACTCGAACAAATCCTCGAGTGTGCATCTCTCCACATCATTGCTTTCTCCACCCCATGCTACTCCCTTGTGGGACTTGTTGAAATGCCAAAGCGACACCAACACGTCTTTCACGTTCCTGCTCACGTACACGATCTTGCATGGAGACTCCTTCATGGGTACTTGAAGCGCATCAAACGACATGTGAGTTGAGAACACTCTTGGAGATGATGATGATGCTAAGAACTTGGTGAAATCCGGTTTTGTGGTTTTGAGATACAGATCAAACTCGAGGAACGGTACAAGTTCATGAGGGTTGTGAGATAGAAGAGGATGATCATCATCATCATCCAAAAGATGTTTAGATCTTTGAGTGATTGTGAATGTGAGTGCCTTGAGCCAAGTCGTGCCGGCTTTAAGGAAAGAAGCAACGATTATATCGGTTTCTTGTGGCTGAAAACTTCTTTGGAAGTTGAGGATTGATTGGAGAATGTGTTTGTCGTACCAACATCCTTGGTGCTTGAACATCTTGATCCCATAGCAATCTATGTCTGAAGGAAGTGATGAGATCAACCTTTTGGTTTCTTCTTCCTCACTCAATTTCCTTGGAATCTCTTTCTCATCCATTTTTTTTTGCCTCGAATTGTTTTAGTTAATGTAATCACAAGCTCACACTACTTTATAGACGTGCATGTGGCTTGAAAGCTCATGTCATAACGTTAATTTAATAAACGTGGTAGTTGTCAATAGTGCTTTTAAACCCGTGATTATATAGTTGCAATGAAGTCAATTCAACTTGTAATTGAATCTAAGCATCAAAACAAAAGTTGTAATTTGGCAATACACTACTATTACAGAATGTATTTAAACTGTTTTTGTATAACGACAAAGTGATCTTGATGAGATCGTGAGAGATCTGTAATAAAGGCTTCTTGTTGTCACAATGTAAGAACAAGAATCATCCTACTATGGAGGGTAAGAGACATATTATGATTTCTAGCAATTTGAAACTAACAACACAACAAATATTTCAACATATATAAAAAGAAAATCAACACAATGCTATTTATTCTAAAAGGTTTTTTCCAAAAGAAAAATAATAATAAAAATTCTAAATGTTTTTAATATGTTTCAGTCTCGACAAAAGCAAGATTAGATCAAATGTCTAGAAGTTCTTCCTCTTCTTCATCAAGCAAGATACTAAAGTTCTTCACTTCTCTCAAGATCCTCTGTAACTCCTCTGTTCTACGATGCTTCTCTCCAGAAGAATAAAACTTCACTAAACCATCATCAGTCTCAATCCAGCTAACACCTGCTTCTTTCTTATAACCAGTGTCTCTCATTGCAACTTTTAGCCTCGCAGCATCTTCAAATCTCCCAAGATCACCATATATGTTTGAGAGCATCACGAAATTAGCCGGGTTTCTCGGCTCAAGCTTGACCAACTCTTCAAGAGCAAGCTCACCAACCTTCACACTCTTATAAACCTTTGAAGCTCCAAGCAAAGTGGCCCATATAACAGCATCAGCTCTCACAGGCATTTTGTTTATAAACTCAACAGCTTGTGTTAACAGTCCAGCACGTGATAGTAAATCCACCATACAACCACAATGCTCTATCTGAGGCGTGATTGAGAAATCAGTAAGCATGGAGTTGTAATAAGCTAATCCATCTTCAACCAAACCCATGTGTCTACAAGCACATAGAACACCTACAAACGTTATCTTGTCTGGTCTAACTCCACAAGTTTTCATCTCACGGAATAAATCTAACGCCTCGTTACCATGTCCATGTGCAGCTAAGCCGTTGAGTACTGTATTCCAACTTATCAAATCTCTTCTCTTTATCCCATTGAAGACTTCCATAGCCATCTCTATAGCACCACATTTTGCGTACATATCAACCAAAGCATTCATGAAGTTAACATTCACCTTATCATACCCAAGACTCTCTCCACGCTTATGCACCTTTTTCCCAAACTCGTAAGCACCTAACTTCGCACAAGCTGATAAGACTGAAGTCAAAGTCGCATCATTAGGAACAACATTCCCTTCATCTAACATTCTCTTAAAACAATCCAACACTTCATCAAGCCTCCCACTTTGAGTATACCCTTTGATCAAGCCATTCCAAGAGAACACATTTCTCTCAGACATTTCCTCGAAAACTCTCTCACAAGCTTCAACATCTCCAACACTCGCATAACCCTCCAAAACTGTGTTCCACGACATTACATCTCTACAAGGCATCAAATCAAAAAGACTCCTAGCTTCCTTCATATTCCCCATTTGGATATAACCAGATACCATAGTGTTCCACAACACAGCGTCTCTCTCAGGAGACAGATCAAAAAACCGCCGAGCAGAGACTAAGTCTTTATTCAATATATACCCATTGATCAAAGAAGTCCAAGTAACTACATTTCTCTCACCCATCTCACAAAACACTTTATTCGCCGATGCCAGCACTCCTGCACATGAATACATCTCAATCAACTTAGTTCCTACATAAGGGTTTGCACTAAACCCTGTTTTTATAGAAAAACACTGCAACTCCTCTCCTTGTCTTAGTTCCTTAACCATCACGCAAGCTTTTAAAACCACAGGGAGAGTGAAACTATTAGGCATCACATCTTTCCTTCTCATCTTCTTGAACAACAACAAAACGTCATTATAATCGTCGTTTTGGTTATACCCATTGAACATGGCGTTCCAAATAGAAACAGTTGGTTCAGACATTCTGTCGAACACTTGGCGTGCGTGATCGATTCTCGTGATCCAACAACAAGCGGAGATGATTCTCGGACCGACGTACTCATTGTCTTCTAACCCATGAGTTAAAGTCTGTGTTTGGATTTGGAGAAGGTGTCTTTTGGTTTTACATGACTCTAATAAAGAGATGAGCTTCTCTTCCAAAAGCCTCTTTGGTGATTTCGAAGCTAAAGCTACGGAGACACTCGCAATTTTGGATTATGATTCGGAAACAAAAAGACGAGTCTTTGTCGGGAGGATCCGATTTTAGCGACACAGTGACAATCAGATTCAGGAAGTAAACAGAGGAGACAGAAGCCGAAGGACATGAAAGACAAAAGTCAACACCTTCTAAACGATTTAGAGTGTTAGGTATATACAACAAAGTCCAATGTAAATTCCATATTATTACTAGTTTTTTTTCTTTTTTTATCATATTGTTATTAGTTATCCCCTCCATTTCAATTTAGTTATTATTTTAGATTTTTATATACAAATTAAAAAATATTTAATTTTACATATTTTCTAGAAAAAACAAAATTACCTATACTATACCTAAACATATTTCAACCAATAGAAAAATGGAATAGTAAAGAAACTAATAAATTTTGTATTGAAATTATAAAACGATACTTGTTTTAAAACGAAAATTTTATTTTACAACAATAACAGAAATGAAACGGAGGAAGTATGTGTGATGTGTGATATTATTATATCCAATTAACTTTTTATTCATACTTTGGGTATTATACATTTATTTTTATAGATTTGGTTGTTAATAGCTTGTGACTAATTCATGACTATTTTTTGGTATCAGATAGGGACATGATTGTCGTGTTGTTGATCGCCAGGGTGTTATTAACATGTGCGTGCAGAATGCTGATCATTTCTTTCTAGTTTTGCCTATTCCAAACTAGTGTGACCTCTCTTTTCCTAATTTTTCAGCCTCTTGTTTGGTTATTCGATAGCGTGATTATATTATTTAAAACTAGATTTTATAGTTAAGAGACCTAAATTTTGAATTATTGTGTCACAAATATAATGTCTAGTGCTATTTTTAGTCTTGACCATAAAGCCTAACGTCCAATTTTTGTTCCAAAAATATTAATTCTATAAAAACATAAATGAAAAAAGTTTTTGAGCTACACGAAGTTTACACTAATATGGTGGACACCATCCAATGTATAAAAATGTGTCAAGAACTATACGAAGTATATGTTAATACATACCACATGTATGAAATAAATGATATTATGGTGGCAACATCACAATCGGATTTAATTGTTCTTAAGCTAAGTTAATGGGGTCAATCCGTAATTTATGAAACTTAACAAAATTAATAAACATAATATTTTTTAAAACTTAATAAATTAATAAACATAATATTTTTAAAATTTGATAAAATTAATAAATATAATATTTTTTAAAAAACTTAAAAAAAAATTATTAAACTTAATAAAATTATTAAACTTCATAAACTTAATAAACTTAACAAACTTAATAACTTATAAACTTAATAAGTTATTAAACTTAATATACTTAGCAAACTTAATAAACATAATAATTTAATAAATTTATTAAATTATTAAACTTATTAAATTTATTAAATTATTTTGTTTATTAGTTTTAGGCTTCTAGCTTATTAAACATAATAATTTTAAAAAACTTAATAAACTTTAGAAACAATAAGATTTATTAAACTTAATAAGATGTATTAAACTTAATAAATCATTAAGTTTATTAAGTTTGTTAAGTATATTAAGTTTAATAACTTATTAAGTTTATAAGTTATTAAGTTTGTTAAGTTTATTAAGTTTATGAAGTTTAATAATTTATTAAGTTTAATAAATTTATTAAGTTTAACAAAAAATATTAAGTTTATTAATTTTATTAAGTTTTAAAAAATATTATGTTTATTAAGTTTATTAATTTTATTAACTTTAATAATTAAAATCAATTAAGTTTATTAAGTTTCATAAATTACGGATTGACTCTATTAACTTAGTTTAAGAACAATTAAATTCGATTGTGATGTTGCCACCATAATATCATTTACTTCGTACATGTGGCATGTATTAACATATTTTTCGTGTAGTTTTTGACACATTTTTATACATTGGATGGTTTCCACCATATTAGTGTAAACTTCGTGTACTGAGAAACTTTTTTCCAAACATAAATAATGTATTGTGATAAGGGAATTCACATGGAGTGTCCACGTGAAAAGACTACAAAAAGATCTTGATTTTGAAATACCAAAGCCATGTGGTCATGCGTAAACTCAGAAAAAGGAATCCATCTCCTACGTAAAATTATACTATAGCAAATACTCCCTCGGATTTATTACAAATATCATTTTAAAATTATACATACGGATTAAAAAAATAATTAATTTTACATATTTCATATATAAAAACACAATTATCTATACATCTAACTACCTTTTAACTAATAAAAAGTAAATTACATAATAAAATTAATAAATTTTACATTAAAAATCGAAAAACGAGATTTATTTTGTAACGAAAAAAAATTCTCTACAAGGACACTTAAAATGAAACGGAGTAAATATTAAATATATCTTTGCTACTATTAACAATCCTCCGAACAAGATATATATTTGTGATTAGGGGATTAACTGAAAACAGTGATAAGTAACTAAGATTTCATTATGAATTAAATATGTTATTTCGTCGGTGACATTTATTTGATGTGCATATTTACGAGGAGAGGTTAGGCACCGCCTGTCCCCAAAAAAAGCCATGAAAAAAAGAAACAAATGCAACTGAAAGCCGTGCACAACGCAACGTTTTTCAAACGAAGTTATGAAATGTGTTTGATTAAAAATTAATAAAACGGAAAATTATATTAAAAAGTAAAATAAGCGTTTTGAAATTAATGATAAATAAATAGATATGCATTCTATTACATTGCTGTCTGCAGGTTCTATATTTCTCTCTGCCTTTGCTGTTAACGTAAGAGCCATTAGATATTTCTTCAGATCTCTCTTTCTTTTTCTTTTTCTCGCCACAAATCTGCTTCTATTCCAAAAGAACGATCTCTGCTTTAGAGCTTCAGGTATCTTTCTCAAATATCTAGTGTTTTGTTTCTGATCTAATCCTCGGGGTGTTTTGAGTTAAAACTGATCTGGATCTCAATGGCTCCTGCGTTTTCTGCTAAAGATTCTTGTCTGATTTGTTCTTGGATGTGTTCTTGATTTTCATTTTTGGATCTGAGACTATCATGCATGTTCAGATTCTTTACGTCTCCTTTAGAGATCATATGTGTGTTATCAAGAAGCATAAATTTTCATCATTTCCATATCTAGCTAGATCATGGAATCACAGTTTCTGTTCTCAAATCTCAACTATATTTATTTCAAAGTGCATCAGATGAATTGCTTACTGTTCGAGTTAGACTTTTTCTTTATGACTTTTCTTTTTTTTTAGTTTACTTATAAATATTTAGTAAAGTAAAGAAAAAAAATATCATGTCTCCACTATGATCTTGACAACATCACTATACAAGCTGAAATCTTATTAAATTAAAAAAAAATATCAGAAAAATAATATAGTATCCTGGAAGATGTCAAGTGCTGATTTCTGTCTTAATTAAAGAATTTAATAATGAATGATATTCCTAACTAATTAATTAAATATGATATTATGACCAGATCTCCATAATAAACACGTTACCGTTTGACCACCTCTTCTCTTCCCTTATCCTATTTAACATTCTTATTTAGTTTTGCCTCCTCCTTCATCAATCTCTCTTCAAGATAAGTTTATTCGCAAGTGGTTTGATTTGATTGATTCTTCTGAGCAGCAAAGATGAACAGCTGTGGAGTCCAACAAAACGCTTTCGAGGTGATGAGGAGCAGAGACGCTGTTGTTTGCCCTAAACCACGTCGTGTTGGTGTCCACAACCACCACCACCTTGCTCGATCTCTCCGTTGGCAAGTTAGGTAAAGACTTACGTTCTTTATCTCAGTATTTCTTATAAACAGATGTAACGTTTCATGATTATGCAAGAACATGTATGATAATTGATATCATCAATCATATTCTTTACTCATCAATCATATTGTTTGAATATGTTTTTATTTCAGTCACCAGATGGAGTTATGTGAATCTAATTCAAGAAGTGATATTTTGGATTTCATACTCGCAAAGGTAAATCAAATGATATAACTAACCTGTTCCTCATAATATATATACATATATATTATGTGAGATTGATCTTGTGTATATTTATTTATAGGGTGGTGGTTGTGAACAAGATCCAACGAGGACGGTGACGTCATCCCCGGAGCTATTTTTCACGGGGTCACCGCCAAGTAGAGTTTCTAACCCTTTAACCAAAGATTTACTCTTTCGGGAGGAGCTTCTCGTGGTTGCTCCTCCTCCTCCGTTGACTCCACGAGCAACCAAGCCGCCACCACCGTCTTCTCCAAGGAACGGTGGCGGTTGCGTTAGGGTGACGACTAACTTCGGGAACAATCCTGCGGTTCGTGTCGTGGGATTTAATTGCCTTGACATGGACAGACGCAGTAGTGTTCTGACTCTTGCATAAGAGTCCCAAAAACATGCAAATATATAACAGAGAAGGTTGAAATTTGAAAACCATTAAAAAGGTTTAGGAGTTGATGATGATGATGGATCATGTGGAGTTTTTTTTGTGGAAAATTTGTAAATATTTTCAAGAAAAGGTAATTTAAAGATATGTTATATATAATCTAGGATTTGGGAGTTTTGTAAAGTAAAAAAAAAGGGTTTGTGAGTGTTAGTGAAAATAAGAGCATCGGTGTTTCTTCCTTATTGTAACAAAAGGAATGAGTTTTTTGAAATGTAAAGATATCATTTCTACTCTTTTTTCTGTTGTCTCTCATGTACAGATGTAATTTTTAAAGGAAATGAAAATTTTAGTCTTACTTACTATCATGTCTTTTCGGTAAACTACTATAATGTCTTCGCGCTCTTGTATGTTTCAAACTTTCAATATAATACATGATCACTGAAAAAATGGTTTCATATTCTTTCAACATTCATAATATTAATCAAGTAAGAAGAGTTGTCATCATGCATGCTTCTAACAACATGCATTATGTCGAATCAAAATTTTGTGTCTTATTTCTAGAGTAAATTAACGGAATACGTACAAATGATAGGATCATTTTTCTATACGTGATAAAATGTATACATAAATATCCAAAGATTTAGAAATTTAGCATATCGCCTAAAAATTTCCATATAACACGCTAGTAACATTCTGTAACAAATTTAACATGTTAACAACATGATACTAAGACATTTTTAATTGTTTTGCCATTTGTTGAAATGTTTCAACCAAATATATAAACGCATCGTATCCTTTCACTGGCCCAGCGTCATTCCTACTGGCCTGAAGACTTCACGAGCCCAAGTTCACGAATATGCACACAATGACACAAGTCCATTGCTATTTCACCTATAAGCACGTTGCTTCAAATAGATTGTGATTATAAATCGATAAGCTCAGCATTAATAGGAACGAATCTATATAGTATATGCAAAATAAATGTATTTTAATGGTGCTGAAATCATGCTGATGGCCAAACACAATAGTGCAGATCTGACTTTTCTCTTTATTATTTGCTTACATGTAATTTCATTATTAACTTATTTCATTCATTTAATATAAACACAATTTTTTCAAAAATATGGTTGCTATTTTATTTCCTTTTTGTTGTTGCTGTGTAATATCTAGTTACGAATTTATTTATCAAATGATTTATAAATATCTGTACTTTACATATAATATATATTTTTTTAATATACTGGCCAATGGTTACAGACCAGGCATGTGGCATGAGGACAACTCATTATTTCTTTGTCTGTGGATCTATTTCGACTGTTTGTTTAAAACTTGGGAAAGCAAACTAATAATATTAATCTTTCTTGTTTATCGGATTATAAGAAATATCTAACAATAAATATTATAGCTAAATTTTTTTCACGTAGCTAATACTAATATACATACTTCCATCATTTCAATTTTTAATTGTTATTCTAGATTTTGCACACAGATTAAGAGTTTAAATTTATATATTTTTAAAACAAAAACACAATTACTTTTACATGTAATTATTTTTTAATTAATAGAAAAATAAAATACCATAGAAAACTAATAAATTTTATTTTGAAACTCTAAAATGATATTTATTCTGAAACGAAATTTTTCTCCAGAATGACAACTAATTCGAAACGGAGAGAGTGTATGATTACAAACTAACAGTAGGCTAGAGATTGTACAACTATTATGATGATATTATAAATAATGGAATAGGATTGCAATTAGATAATACGTACCGTTTTTTTGTAAAACCTACACTAGAAAAATAAAAGATAATTACAGGATAAAAATAGGTTGACGGGTTTAGTTGTGAAAGCAACATTAGCCAATTTAACAAATTTGCGAAAACGTCCTGAACTCGAACAAAGTAGCGTTGGACTTGTTGGGTTTTAGTGTCACGTCATAAACATTTCTTTTATCCTTTTTTTTTTTTTTTTAACACTGGATAATCATGCATTACAAACTATGAGAAATATTACATAGACGATATTACAGCCGACAATTCTACCTGCCTTATGCGGATTCACGTCTGACTGCATCATCCTGAGCCGCCCTATGAGATCCATTCCTGACGGTACGCCTTGCGCCATGCTGAAGATCTCCTGTAAGCGTTCTCCAATCTGCATAATTCGCCATTCACCTTCTTCGGGAATTGAAACCCTCCTGGTGTAAGAACTGCGTAGCCTGGGATTCGAACCCCAGACCTGGTGTAGAAGCCTTTAAACCTTAACCACTAGGCTACGGTGCTTCCACAACATTTCTTTTATCCTTTGGAATTAATTAGTATCCCTATATATATCCATCCAAAAATGATGACAAAAAATAAATATATCCATCCAAAAATATACCCACTCAAACACCATATTAAAGTTATAACAAAATATGCTTGCTTGGAATATTCCTTTTCAAAAATATTGTTAAAGACGTCTGTAAAAGGAAAAATAAAAGAGGCATCATAAGTCAATATTTTAATTTTTTTAAAAATAAAAAGAAGAATCGAGGACAAATAGTTTTTTACTGTTTCAAAATTGTCCAGCTTAATCATGCACCACTTTTCTTTTTATCAACGAGTCATATGTAAGTACCTTAAACACATAATCGATTATACTATAAGTGTAGGTTCAAAAAAAAAGGAAATCAAGTAAGTTTTACTTTTCCATCATCTAGATCCACGGACTTTTCATGTCCTAAATTCACGTAACGTCCTAAATTCACGTAACTTCTAAATGTATTGTTAACCAGCAATTTAAACATTAGATAGATATAAATATGAAAGACATGTTTACATGTTTCAACTACAGTGAAACCTCTATAAATTAATTATGATGAGACTACACCAAAATTTATTTTTTTATTAATTTAGAGAGATATTAATTTATAGATATATTAATTGAATCAAAAACTCAATTTGGAACTATAAAATTATATTAATTTATAGAGATATTTAGTGTATATTAATTTATCGAGTATTAATTTATAGAGATTCTACTGTATTTATATTTATATTTCCTTTATCTTGTTTGCAAAAGTGGTGTTGGTATTTCAACTTAAAAGCTAAAAGGAAATTCGTATTACTCAATTCGGCTTATATTCCTTTCTTAACATGCAATAATATTTCTTTTCAAAAGAAAAAAAAAACATGCAATAATATGTTTTTTTTTATCAAAAAAAAAATATTTTGCCATGCAACTTTTTCAGACTGTGTATGCCAATCAATTTATCAGTTAATATCTGCCAGAATAAACTTCCAGGTAATTCTGCCGTTTATTGAATACGTAAATAATAAGTTTGAATCTCTGGTCAAGCTTTTAGAATAACCATTTCAAGTTAGACGTTACAAATTTGAAATAAAAATCGATAAATGGCCGACTACCAAATTTATTGTTTACTTGTAACTTGTATCTGAGACCATCGAAGCAATTAACCGATACATTATATTCCGTGGAGCCGACGGTGATTGTGATAATGACGTGGATTTGTTGGTTTATGACATTGAGGTGTGTTACATACACGTTGCATATTCACTGTGAACGTCGTCTACCTCACGTTAGATTTTTCAATTGTTTCCTTTTTAGTTTTTTCTTCATCCACTTTTTTTCGCTTAACACTGATTTTTCTTTTGATATCAAATTCAAACAGTAAAAGTAAATAACACTTGAGATTTATTTTCTAATACAAATTGTTTTGTAATTCTTAAAAAACAGATATATAAAACCAGCAGCAGTTTTTGATACTCGGACGAAGGTCAAGCGTAAGGCTGCTTATAATTATTTATATTTATCATCGGCTGCTAACTATTTTATGTGTCAAATATTCAATTAGTAGAAATTATGGCAAATACTTTTTCCACGGCGACCTAAACTCAAATCAGCTATTTAAAGGTATTTTAGTTGAATAAAGAGACCTTGACAAAAAAAAGTTGAACAAGGAGAAAGACTAAAACCTGAATATGAAAACTAATAATAATGTTTGTGTGATTTATAAATTATTATAAAACCTGAACAATTTTTAAATTATATTGTTTACTTTAAAAGATAACAAAAACTAATTGCTTAATTATATACTCCATAATATAAAATTAACAGTTAAAATTTTGTTAAACTTTATAAATTTGAGAAATGTTACAATATCTTTAGAGATTATAATAAAACAATATTTTCCCAATCTTTACATATATTTAAAAGTTCAATAATGAAATAATAATCCAAATATATATATATATAGAAGATACAATACATGTGAAAGTTTTAAATAATGTATTCGATGAAAATTAATATATGGTAAAATTGTTATTTTAAAAAAAATTGATATGCACATCTCATATAATATATACTAATTTCAAATTGAAACTAAAATATTTATATAAAATAAATGAAAATAAATACCCGCGCGGTTGCGTGGATTGAGATCTAGTCTAATATATTAAAACTGAAATACAAATAGAAAATAACCCTTATTTTTTCTAAAAAATTAGCATCTCATGCCATTGATTTTATATTCAAAAAATATTAATTTACCATATTCATTTATTATTTATTCTGATAAAAGTAACCGATTGTTTCTCAACCACTTGCTCCACTATTTAGTTTGTTATTTATCTTCCATACACACGATATATTAAAATCATAACATAATATTTCTCATCTTCTCTATTAAAAGAGAAGTATCAAATTTATCTACTATTTAGAAGTCATGATGAATTATGTCATTAGTTAGTTAATATGATATATTTGATTGTTATATAACAAATCAAATACATACTATTTTCAAAATATCTTAATAATTAATAAGGACATTAATAATAAATCAATTTAAATATAACAAAATCTGTTAAAAATCTAATAATATCTTACCAAAAATTTTAAATATTTATTTATATTAATATAAGTATTTCTTTATTTCATTATTAAATATAATTATAAATTAATTTTAATTAAAAGTAAAATCTAAATTATGTATTTAAAATTTTAGTTAAATATTTATAAAATAAAAATATACCCGCAAGTCAAACTCTTGTTAAAACTAAAACCTAAGCCAACCGCACAAGTATTGTCAGATGGATTGTACCCGAAGTATATCTAATGGCTAGTGAATATATCTAATTATCTATCATGCTAATTTGCGTTTTCAAGCTGGCAATCGATCCTTTACATGAGAATAATCAAAGTCAATATTAACCTGCTTTGTAATTCGAAAACAATAAAATTGGCCGCATAGGCAAATGCTAGTTAAAACCACGAAATTTTCAGTTTTTTTCAAAACAACATGAAGCAATGAAAGCTTTGTAAAACCCATATTTTCACAAAACCACTTTTACAAAACA